AATTAATTAGAAAACTCAGTGACAGTGTGCTGAATAAATAGTGAAAATTTTAACAATTAGGTTTGTTTTCTTGTTTTGGTGCATGGAATATTACTGTGATCGTAAGTCATTATGGTGCTAACTTGAAGCCTCATAGATTCCCAAGGAATAGGCTAGAATTCTTCATAATTTTTTGTTTCTTGTTAAACAGTCTCCAAGAATCAGACACGTTTAAACATAAAAAAACCCAACTTGTCTATTCTTTTGAAATGCATCAAATTATTAATGATGACTATTATAAAAATATTTGCTGTGAACTTTCCTACACTGCCTGCAGGCGTCAAAATAACCAATCAGTGTCCACAGTTCTCTTTACAAAAGAGTTTTGTGCATTCCCATTATTCAAGCAATCATACTTATTATGGAAATATACATCAAGAAATAAATTATGGTTGTATCGTTTGATTCTGCAATAAAAATAATTCTAAGCTCCAATAGAAAGTAGGGAAATAGAACAAATTTAGAGAAGTTTTTAGTGTTGCGTAATTTATCATTAATAATGCACAGGCCTGTCTCTGAAGACAATCTAGAAAGCTCAGTTGGTCCAGACTCAAGTAGGCAGTGATAAGCAATTCAACAACATAACTATTGCTTCAGTCACCATAAGTGTGCTGCTGTCAAATTAGAAAGTTCTACATCAGGGGTCTTCAAACTTGACCCTTTTATGACTCATGGACTTCAACTCCAGAATTCTTCAGCCAGCATGCCTGGCTGAGGAATTCTGGGAGTTGAAGTCCACGAGTCATAAAAGGGTCAAGTTTGAAGACTCCTGTTCTATATGGATGACTTACGTCCACTGACAGGGTGGTATCCACTAATGTTTCCACCCATTCTGTGCAAACATTTTAGAAGGAATGTTCAGGAGATTATGAACCTGATGTAAGGGGTCTGTCTCCTAGGCCAAAGTGTGAATTGAAGAACCAAAGCATGACAGGCTTTGACCTAGCAACTTGGGAGCCATTGAAGGAAGAATGTTGTAGAAAAGTCCGGAATCAACATCTGTTATAGAAGCACAACATCAGGCTCAGTCACAGGCAGAGAAAGATTAAGGGAGTTAGAAGAGACATGACGGGGTCGTGAGTCAGGAAAACAGGCACAACTGAATCTGTACAATAAAGAAGAGTTGAGAATCAGACTTCTATTGGTAGATGGTTTTCCAGCCTTGGACCTGACTCCCTCAACACATGTTGCATCTGATCTCCTGGTTAATCCTCAGACTGGCATGACACTACCTTCAACTACCTTCAGATTGGATGGTTACATCTTGGGCTTATCTACATGAAATGAGACTACATTCAGATCGGATGATTAGATCTTGAGTTTATCTACATGGCTCTTGACTTCTAAAACAAGCTTGTTTGCTGTGCCTGAGCTTTCCAGGTCTTGCACTGGAGTGAGATAGGTGACACAAAGACTTCTGATCCTCATCTCACCTCCTGCAATTGTAACTGCGGGAACAGGATATCTGGAGAAGTCCTTGATGGTGGCTCTTTGAATAACTCACCTTCCAAGTTTCATTTATCCTGATTTTCTGGCTTTCCATTCAGCTGTGAAAGCTGTATTATTTGGCTAATGGTGCTGCTCTTAGCAGAGCAGACTAAAGAAATTGTCCTAGAAATCACAGAACAACTTAATTGCTGTCTTGAGAAAGCTTTTGTTGGGAAATGTGACATATAAATTCTTAATAGAGCAAATGATATCCGAATCACCTGAAAAAGAATGGATTGTACATAAGATCATTAATGCTGTTGTTGAACAGACTTTCTCCCTTGTGATTTTTGACTCTCCTCAGATTATAAAGGCATATCTATAAGACTTTCTAGCTCATTATTTTTCAAAATTATTTGCCAGCCTATGTTGAAAAATAACGCAATATTAAAATCTCATTAAACATTCACAAGTAATGACAATGAATGCATCAGTTTTAATTTTTAACACAGCAAATAATGATAAACATAACCCATACAAACAAAAGCACTTTTGGGGTCCTCTGTAATTTTTAAAAATTGGTCTGCAGAAAAAAACCCCCACCATTCTAGCCTAGTAGCTTATTGCTGATAAGATACTAGGCTTTGTACCCTTTGAAATGATAAAGTACTGATTGCTTTAGCCAGATTCCTGATACTTCAGAAGAATAGTATGAATCATAATAGCAGTAATGCATTTAGTTCTCATGGATTCTTAGACTTGATTCAGTTAACACATTAAACCATAATGTAGTTTGTTTGGTTTTGGCTGGTATATTATGTAAAACCAGCTAATTGTCATTAATTGCACAAACTAACAATTCATGGCTTCTCGCAATGGATGAACAAGATATTTGACATTACCACGTCAGCTTTACAATATTGTCTTCTGAGATAGTCTTTATCAGCTGGGTATTTCAAAGTCTGATGATTATAAGTTTTAGAATTTCATGCTAGCATGTAGGGGTTGATTCCTGGAAATTGCAAACGTTTGTTGGACTCCTGGTTTGGGAAAGATATTCTAATTCTGATTAGTATTCAGAAAACTGAACATTTTATTTTTTTAACTGGGGGAGCTGTTTATTTATCAATTCTGTAAAGCTATTCAACTCCATGATAACTTTGGTGATGTGCAAAATTAAAAATAGATTGAAACAAACATAAAACAGAAATGCTGAATATTTGGAAGGGGCAAGACAAACATTTTATCTAATATAATTACTTTCCTCCAAGCTGTCTACTACCCAAGCTAGCTTCCTATTACATTTGATCTTTGTTTTTGTGGCCCGAAAGGGAGAGATAGAAATTGTGGTTTAGTTTATTTGATTAACACATTCAGGGAACCAGTAAACTCATTTTTCACAATGAAATATGCCCCCCAAAAAGGCATATTGTACTCTATTTAATATAGGCATTTGACAAATCCACGAATAATAGGCATCTTTTAAGAAGAAGCATCCCTTTCCTTCCTTCCTTCCTTCCTTCCTTCCTTCCTTCCTTCCTTCCTTCCTTCCTTCCTTCCATCCATCCATCCAATTCTTATGCATGTGTGTATCATTTAAACAAAAATTGACTTTGATGTTATTAGTGCATATGTATGTGTGTATACATACACATATACATACAAATACAATAAAAATATTGAACAATAAAAAAGTTCTTCAATAAAATAAAGGATATACTATGAACTAAAGCAATCAATATTGTTAATTTTGAATCCGATCAGTAATTATGCTACCAAAACTAATATTATGATATAAGTCATAATAACCACCAGGGATAATGGTAGAGAGAAGGCTGTTCTTTTCCATAGAGAGGGGGAAATAACCAGTTTAATTATCTGCTTACTCTTTAATTTCTTTTTTATACTGACTCAGTTCCATATACAGCTAGTAGAAGGGCTATAAATCGTGCAATCTTTCATCATGGTCAATCTTCATCTTCATTCTGGTTGAATCTTAGGTCCTATTCTGAAGCCTTTACTTTAGTGTTTCTTGCCTATTAGAAGATAGTGCTGCATGTTTCAGTAAGATACATTAGTTTAGAAACGAATGTTCCTCAAACTGAACTCCTGCAAATTGCATTTCTTAATTTGCATATTTTGCGGGGAAATTATACAGTTAGCCCTAGATTGAAAATAGAGTCTCTTTGTAGTTGAAGTCCTCCATTCCTTTCTTTATTGCACTATTTCTTATTTTCTTGAATAGAAATGAAACAAGATGCTTTGCTTAGCATTCTACATTATGTAGAGTTTTTTTTCCATGAAGGAATTACTGAAATATATTAGAAAATAAACAAGCACTTCCTACAACAGCTGCTGTGTGCATGTTTCTTTTTCCTTGTGGCTTCAGTCGGACATAATTAGAGTGCTGTGGCCTCAAGGAATAAAATCTCTGTGATGGGACCCCCAGTGATGAGAGGGGCCAGGTGTTGACCCCCATCCAGGCTACAGCAGTTGAGGGCAACAATAGAAGAGGAAGAAGAGGGTAATTTCCTTGGTTGGTTTCCCCTTCACACCAACAGGCTGGGTCCTGGAAAGATCATCCCTCACTTCCTTACTCACTCAAGGCATCGCTGTGCTCTCTTCCATTCATCTTTCCATTCAATATACATGTAGCCTTGGTGCCCCCTCCCCCCTCTGTCTGAAAGACTTTATCTCTTAGGTATCTGGATGATTGTGAGGTGGAAGCCAAGAAATATGGAGGCATTTGCATTCTTTTTTCACATAGCAGTTGTTCTTCACTTCAGTGTCCCTGGAGAATTAATAAAACAACATGGAAAATGATCTGAAATTTCTGGAGGACTGTTTTACTGAAAACAGAAACTATAATTTTGGAAAATAGGACACAATATGATCAATGACTCATATTGGAGTAGTGCTGCTTGATAACAAGAATCCCAAGAGCTTTTCACTCTGAATAAAAATGGAACTTTTACAAGTGGTCCTCAATTTACCATCCTAATTGAGACCAAATTGAGCTTGCTGCCATAGGTTGAAGCATCACATGACCAGATTTGAAGGTATGAGCATTTTTATGATGGTCACTAAGTAAAAGCTGCAGTTGTTAAGCAAATCCATTTTCCCTAGTGGGTGTTTTTTTTGTTTTGTTTTTACCAGAAACTGGAAGGACAAGCAAGAAATTGCAAAAGGCAAAAAGCTCTGGGGAACAGGGGGGGGGGTCATCATAAGTTTAAATGATCGCTAAGCAAATGATTTTATGTCAAAGACTACTTGGGAAAAACCTGGAAGAAGACAATGGCAAATCATTTCTATACTGATGGCAAAAAAGTTACATATTTTGTCCATAAAGTCAACAAGAATTAAATTGATTAAAATGAGAATTATTTATTAATTACATTTACTAATTTCAGTAAAATGTTTTTTTCAGATCCATGCTAAAAACATCCATTTTTTTCAACCTTAGAACAGTTTTTAAATTCTTTGTAGACAGTAAAATATGATACTGAAACCCATTTCACATTTTTGTGTTTCAGATGGAGGAAGCCTGTGAAGATATAGATCAAATGTTCAGTGACTTATTGGGAGAAATGGATTTGCTAACTCAGGTAAGTATGCCCATAGGAAATAGAACAAATAAACCTATTTTCTTCCTCTTCAGTTTTCTGCTTTTTATATTTATTAAATTGTAAACATTCTTTTCTTAATGCTAGAACTTTTTCCCTGTGTGAGGCTTTTAAATTGATGAAGTAAATCAGTGCAATACAGTGCAATCAAAACACCAAAGTTTTTCTACTTTGTACACCCACTGCATCTTTCAAAAGAGAAGTAAAAAAAAAGACTGCAACCCTCCTACCCACAGCAGTACTTTATGCTGAAATTGGGATTTGTGTTGTATAGTTTGCACGTTACATTTCCCTCCAAAGTTAATTAAGTAATGCTGAGAATGGAAGATGGCAAGTAGTAGTGATACTGGATACATGTAGATCAGTGTTTCTCAACCTTGGCAACTTTAAGATGTGTGGGCTTCCACTTCCTGGCTGGGAATTCTGAGAGTTGAAGTCCATGTAATCTTAAAAGTTGCCAAGGTTGACGATTATATCAATTTTGTTATGCTGCAGTCTGATTCTACAGTTGTTGATTTTTTTTTCTTCATTAATCTACATTCAGCACCCCATGATGACAAAGTGAAAACAGAATTTTAAAAATGTCTGTAAATGTATTAAAAGAAAAAACTGAATTATCACATTGGCATAAGTATTCAGGCCCTTCACTCAGTGCTTTGTTGAAGTACCTTTGGCAGCAATTACTGCCTCGAGTCTTCTTGGGTATGACACAACAAGCTTTGCACCTCTGGATTGGGGGATTTTCTGCTATTCTTCCTTGCAAATCTTCTCAGACTTAATCAGATTGGACTAAAATTCCTGAAAGCCCCTGCCTCTACTTCTTCTTCCCCCCATCAGAAGATGAGTCAAGCATAATATATTCTTTTACAGATTGTGTTAATATTAAGAAAGATATTTTGGGAAAACATGGAATCTGGAGCCTGTAATATGCTCTTCCTCTGGAAGGCCCTTTTGTATTACCTTCAGGCATTTGTACTGCTGGTGACAACTTACTTGACCTTTACCACCACACAAGATTTCTATCTAGTCTTGTTCCTTGTTTTTCCTTTCCTCCTCTGGAGACATCTGTTTTCCTTTTACACAATCTTCATTATGTTTTTGCCTTCTTTTTTTGTTGCTTGTGTTTGATGAAGAGCAGCAAAGTTTTTATATAAGCAAGTGGTTTGCTTGTATCTACAGTAAAGCTATGGTTGAGAAATTACTGATCAATTCCTGCTATAACTGGTAGGATTTATTTTACAGCCAAATGTTACTTAATATTTGTGTGTGTGTGTGGTGTATGTATGTGCATGCAGGTGCGGGCTTCTTCCTTTTTGGCAATGTGACTTCTGATAAGTATAGGCTATGGGTAGGCAACCTTGGCTCTTTTATGACTCGTGGACTTCAACTCCCAGAATTCCTGAGCCAGCATGGGTCAGCTTGGAAACCTTTCTCTTTCCCCTCAGCATGGCTGGCTCAGGAATTCTGGGAGTTGAAGTCCACGAGTCATAAAAGAGCCAAGGTTGCTTACCCCTGGTATAGGCACATAGCTTATGCATGAAACTTGCATATATTTTGAGCATAATGGAAAAGCGGTAAATTGGGCTTAGCTGGGATTCGCAATTTTAAAATGACAAGATGGGAAATGGCATTAGATTTTTGATCTGTTTGGGGTCCCCCCCCCCGTCTTTATTCTTCCATTTTGGTGCCTTACATTTCAGACCACTTTTCCAATAAATCTAAAGTATGATCAACTGTTCATAAAACTGCCATCAGACCCTTATTAATGAGATTGTTCCCTCATCAATACAACATTGGAGTTGGCCATAAGATTGTTGCCAGAATAGGCTTTTGTCTTGGTTCCCCTTTTGTTCTATTTCTTTATTTGTATATAGTTCTATTTTTTAAAGCTTCCTTCTCTATTTTCCCCAATGTGTCTGCTATTTTCTTTCATGGAATAGAGCAGTTGTACATTCTCATCTTCCCAATAAAGCTTTCCATGTATTTGGAATATTTTTACTTCTCATTTCTTGTTTTATACCTAGCTTGCAAATGAGAAGGAAAGTATATGAGTGCAATTCCAAAATATACTTAGAAATTTGTGTTGCTTATGTATGTCTTGGGGCATCCTGTTACACAGCCTTGGTATTCCTCTCTTTAGGGCAATGGTTCTCAACCTTTTTAATGCCGCGACCCCCAACCAGTCGTAAGTCGAGGACTACTCAACCGGTCGTAAGTCGAGGACTACTCAACTGGTGCAGCACCGTTTGCAGAATGGGACTTTTGGCGGGCTCAGCAGGGCAGAGACAGCCTGGACAATTCCTATTGGCTTTTGAAAGCCAATAGAATTAGACTCTATTCAAGAGAGCCTATTCTATTGGCTTTCAAAAGCCAATAGAATAAAAGGGAGTAGCACAGCTAAGGAAAAGGGGGGGGGGGGGAAATGGCTGACTGCGTTGTTTGGCGACCCCCGTGAAATGGTCGTTCGACCCCAAATGGGGTCCCGACCCACAGGTTGAGAACCACTGGTTTAGGGAGTTCTCTAATTTTCCCTGGTTGTAGGGAACTGCTCTCCCATTTTCCATTGCTGTTTCCACCTTTCTCCTATCCTTCCATTTTCCATCCTGTCCTAAATTGTGGAAAGAGCTGATTATCCCATTCTTTTCAGTCAACACTCCTGATAAAGAAATATTTTGTCAGTGTTGAGATTGAGTGACTTACTGTGACTGGAAGATTCCCATAGACAAGCTTTGATTCTAATAATTGATTTTTTAAATGTTCAGAGCAAAAGTAGATCTATGAAAACATGATTGATCCTTGAAGCACATGAAAAACAATAAAAACTGACAGAATGTTGTGAAATCTCGTTTCACATCAGTGGTGGAAGAGACAGCGTTAGATCTCCAAATTTCAGGTTCTTCCTATGAATATTAACATTGCTGGATATTTTGCTAGAGTTGTGCAATGAAAGAAGTTGTGTGCAGGCACATCACAGGGAAGTAGTTCCAAAGAAGTAGTTGTTACAGCATGGTACTACTTCAGCTATCTTATAAGGCTGTTGTAAGATGAATAGTAAGAAATTTCAAGTTAGACACTGGGTGGGTTAGCATAATATGTTTATTTGTGGTTAACCTAACCAGGGACTTATTCAATTCAACCCATTTTCTGTATCTTAGTACAAGTTTAACCTGAGTTTCCAACAAGTTAGTGTTTTCTACAGATCCAGCCAAAAGGAAGTACTTTTTCATGTAACACATGGTTAAACTATGAAATTCATTATCATAAAATGTAAATATGATTATCAGCTGGGATAGTTATAAGAGAGGTGTATTAATTATTCTACTTTGGACATATTATGCAAAAACCTAGCTCTCTGAAGAAGACTCTAATGATGGGAAAGTTGCAAGAAAAGAGGAGGACAACCCACAGCAAGATGGCTAGACTCAGCTATAGTGCAGCATTGGAAGGACCGGATTAGGGATAGATCATCATAGAGAAAATATAAGTGGTTGATAGGAGTTGAAAATAACTTGATGGCACATTAGCTCAATCAAGTTTAACAATGAACCTTGATCATCAGAGCTTTCTTCAAGAGGTGGTCAAAAAGTCAAGATGATAGCTATGATTGTATAGTTGAAGATCATCTGTTTTTTTAAAAATGTTAGTTGGCAAATACAGCACAATTACAAGAAAAAGCTCAACATTTCGTGAGATAAAAATTATTGGAAGCAATGTATTATACTGATTGCCCAGAATTTAAATGTTGACACTGACTTATAATAAAATTAAATAAATGAATTAACAGGATAACAAATTACATTTTTTAATATTTTAATGGTTTATTAAGTCAGTGTTTTATTGTTAAAATGGTTTTGTGTACTCTACCTGGAATTAAGGGATTACAGGGTCATAAAAAGGGATTAATAATGTAAATGTAATAAAGTTTCAGATTTGTTGGGACTTTAGCCAGAATCACTGAGAATGTACATTCTGGGATTATAATACAAGCACGTGTAGAGAGTACCAATACTAGCTGCTGGAAAAGAAAAGTGTCACTTTTACCGTATATGCCGGCGTATATAAGACGACTTCCGGAAGCGCTAAACTCGGCGCCAAAAATGGGGGTCATCTTATACGCCGAGTCGTCTTATATGCCGGAAATACTGGTAGTTTCCAGCGTATAAGACGACGTTCTAGGAATGCGGCTTGGCGATAAAGACGGGGGTCATCTTATATGCCGGATCGCCTAATACGCCGGCATATACAGTATATATGGGTTGTGGGTCTTTTAGGAGCATCTGGTTGTCTCCTGTGACAACAGAATGCTGGACTTGACAATCTTCTGGTATAAAACCACCATGATTTTTCTTAAATTCTTAGATGCTCCCGTTCTTCTGTGTAATGTTTATGCAATAAACACTGTTCTGTATCTTGGAGGTTATTATTAGCCAAGTTTCCTGTGCTAATTTTGATCTTCAAATGTGTTTATGTTGTTCATCATACATTTACAATAAACCATTATTCAAAAACTATTTTTATTATAATATGCATGAATTTATATGCATATGTATGTATGTGATATTGTAGTTGAAGAAAATATTCTGGAGAAAAAGATTGTAGGTTTCATAATCCTAAAGCAAAATATTTCTTATTGAGAGAAAAAGCCAATAGAAATATAAATGTACTTCCCATCATAGGAGATTATACAGGCTTTCAAATTTTAAAACTTCTTTTATTTTTAATCAGAGCTTAGAAGTGGAAGCCATGCCTACTCCACCCCTAAAATTATCTGATGCTGAATTTAATTTTGCAGTTGGCTTCAAAGATTTAAATGGTAAGTACTAAAAAAAATGCATTGGGCATATACCTTCTTATGCAGATTAGAAGTATGATAATTGTCCAGTGAATTCCAATGTATTCTACCTAGTCTTGAAAGGTAAATATAGCTGACATTATAAAAACTAAAGTTTTAGAATGTTTCCCCAAACCTTCTATTAGTTTGAATAGGACAGGGAGGCAGCCTTGGCTCTTTTATGACTCGTGGATTTCAACTCCCAGGCTGGCTCAGGAATTCTGGGAGTTGAAGTCCACGAGTCATAAAAGAGCCAAGGTTGCCTACCCCTAGAATAGGACATTCATTTACTAGAAAAAAATATAAAATTGAGTTGAAGAATAATATAGTTTTTCAATATATTTGCAAGTTTTCCAAGACCTATAATCAGACAAAATGTGAAGTGAGAGAAGGGAAGGAAAAAAATGTGACCTATTTTTGAGCCATCTCAGTACCAGATTATTTTCTAAAATAATCCTAGAACTAAGGAGAAACTTCCTGACAGGTAGAACAATTAACCAGTGGAACAACTTGCCTCCAGAAGCGGTGAATGCTCCAACACTGGAAGTTTTTAAGAAGAAACTGGACAGCCATTTGTCTGAAATGGTATAGGGTTTCCTGCCTGAGCAGGGGTTGGACTAGATGACCTCCAAAGTCCCTTCCAACTTTATCATCATCATTATTATTATTATCGATCATCGCACAGTCAGCCAGATGTTCAGACTGGATTTGGCATTTTGTCTACCTAGCGAGTCCTTACCCAGGACCTGGGATAGGGAGATGTAGATGTTTGATGGTATTACAGATATCGTCGGAGGATGGAAGCAGTCTTTTGCAATTGACTAATAGCGAATTTGTCAATGCCAATGGTGTTCAAGTGGTACTCCAGTTGTTTTGGGATTGCACCCAAGGCGCCTATGACTATTGGTACTACCCTTGCTTGCTTTTGCTACAGTCTTTCTATTTCTATTTGTAGGTCTTTGTATTTTGTTATCTTTTCCAGTTCTTTCTCGTCTATTCTGCTGTCTTCAGGCACTGCCATATCCACTATCCAGACTTTTTTGTCTTTCTTATCGACAATTGTTAAGTCTGGGGTGTTATGTTGCAGGTGCTTGTCTGTTTGAATTCTGAAGTCCCAGAGCAGTTTAATTTTATCATTTTCTACGACTTTCTCTATTTTATGATCCCACCAGTTTTTGCTTACAGGCAAATGATATTTTTTGCAGATCTTCCAATGCACCATTGTTGTTATTTTGTCATGCCACTGCTTGTAGTCAGTCTGTGCAATATTATTATTATTATTATTATTATTATTATTACTACTACTACTACTACTACTACTATTATTATTATGTAAGGTAATGTTAAACTGCATAGAGCCTATCTCATACCTTGCTAGATATCAAACATTAATAAATCCTTCATTTTGAAATATATTTTCCAGCTTTTAATTACTATTGTTTCCATTAAGAATAATAACTCATGTTGGGAATCATAAAGTTGTACACAATCCATCAGAAAAGCAATGAGGGATGTCTTCTTATGAGATGAGGCATGAGAAGGTTTCTCTAGCACAGTGGTTCTCAACCTGTGGGTTGCGACCCCATTTGGGGTAGAACGACCATTTCATGGGGGTCGCCAAACAACACGATCCGCCATTCTTTTTCCTCAGCCAGCGCAGGGGGCGGCGCCGTGCATGCACACCGCGCAGGGGGCGGTGCCACGCATGCGTGCCGCGCAGGGGGCGGTGCCACGCATGCGTGCTGCGCAGGGGGTGCCGCCGCGCATGCATGCCGTGCAGGGGGCGGCGGCGCGCATGCGTGTCGCGCAGGGGGCGGCGCCGCGCATGCGTGTCGCTTCCTTCTGACCGGGGTTGCCGGTATAAAAAGATTGAGAACCACTGCTCTAGCATATTTTAAAATGTGATAAATTACCTAATGAAAGGCTGCTTCTTCATTTTAGAAGAATCCCAAGAACTGTTGAGTCTATATGTGTTGCCTATAACTGTCTGTGGAAGACCATCTAATGGTGTATATGGAAGTAGTTTCTTAATAACATTGGATAAGATCTTTGATATGTTTATCTTTTTTTGTAACAGAGTCCTTGAACACATTGGAAGATACAGATTTAGATACTTTAATGGCTGATCTTATAGCAGACATCAGTGAAGTAGAAAAGACCACATTACAAGAAGCAAGGGATACCTCTTACAATGAGCAAGGTGCCATTATGCAGCCACCAGCAAAGGCAACTCCTACTTGTGGAACTCAGTCAGTGCTAAGTAATATTCCTCCCCATGTTGAGAATGAGTTACCAGCCCCTCCTGCAGAAATGCCAATGCCGCCTCCAGCCATTCCTCTGCAGCCGCTCACTCAGGTTAGCAACCAGAGAATTCCTGAAGAAGTTCTTATCTTAATATTCTCAAAATATTGGCACACCGACATGAGATAAACTAGATCCATGGCGGCGAACCTATGGCACGCGTGCCACAGGTGGCACGCAGAGCCCTCTCTGTGGGCACGTACGCTGTCGACCCAGTCCTAGGCCTTCAGCTGGGTTTTATAAAACCTTTTCACTTTAGGCCTAGGCCGCCATGTGCAAAAAAAAAAAAAAAAGGTTCAATCAATCAATTTCAACTTCTTGTGGGAAAAAAAAGATCTCGCAAAGTTGGAATTGATTGATTGAACTTTTTAGTCCCACCCAGTCTGCTGTTACCACCGCAGCCATGCCCACCGAATGGGCCATGCCCACCTGGCACTCGACGATACATGTGGGTTTTGGGTTGCTGTTTGGGCATTCGGTCTCTAAAAGGTTCGCCATCACTGAACTAGATTATCAAAATGTCAGTTTCTGATGCATCTAACTTTTGTAATGTTTGTTGTGGAAAGTTATAAATCTTAGTACAATTTGGGAAGGTTTGTTACTTAAAAAGATTGAGAAAAGAATGTAATGTTTCTGGACTTAAGCTCTTAGAGTAATCTAACAAATAATTCAGGCTGAGGAAACCCTATGTGGAGCAGGCCAGTGGGTATTATATGGAAGATGATGTCATGCATGCTTATTTAATAGCAAGTCTCATGAACTTATGTCTGACCTTTGCAAGAATAAACTGCAGAATAAAAGCTTCAGGATGGGCTTCAACCTGATGTTTATACATTATCTTATTTCTTCAGAAATCTACTATATTCGCTATAGCAGGGGTGTCAAACTCAATTTCATTGAAGGCCGCATCAGCATTGTGGTTGCCCTTGGGGGGCTGGGTAGGTGTGGCCAGAGCAGGTGCAGCCTACTGGGTGGGCATGGATGGAGTGGGTGTGGGTAGGAGTGGGAAGATCTGAGGGTCTCTGGCAGAAGGGGGTGGGACTGGGGCCAAGGCATGGTCCACTGAGGCAAGTGTCAAGATGGCCACCACAAAATTGTACATTGGTTCCCGGCTGGTCAGGGCCAAGGCAGCGGGGGCTGTTTCCTCACTGTTTCCATGATGGCTTCGCGGGCCACATGAAACCACTTTGCGGGCCGCATCTGGCCCCCGGGCCTTGTGTTTAAACATGTCTACGCTATAGCATGAGCAAGGATATTCAGCAAGCTATGTTCATTCAAATATATACCAAATGTACACTCCTCCCAAACAATGGTTATTATCTGGAATGATTAGTAGGGGAAGTTTTTAATCTGTTTGTAGATGTTAATCTCTGCTGAAAGGAATGCAGGATACTGGAAGAGGAGGAGGAGGATTACAAGTAGTCCTTGACTTACAACCATTTGTTTAGTGACCGTCTATAGAAGATGGAAGCTTTACTCTCAAATATTGTTGAAAACTACAATGAGGGTGAATAAGCATGGTCAATACACTGATGTTTCCACTGATTTTTTTCATCTTGAAGAGACAAGATATTTCCTGAATTAATTGTCACATTAAGCTGAAGAGAAAATTACCTGTTCAAATATACAAGATGCTGCAAATAAAATTGCAGAGAATGATAGAATGATGAATGAAAGATGAAGAATGAATTTATTGAGACCTAATTAAAAAAGGGTTTCATAACTATGTATCATGGTTATAAGGCAAGTCATTTGGCTATTGCTCACAATTTTATTTTTAAAAACTAGCTTTCTATGAGTGCAGCTGAAGTGATGAAGTCAGCATAGTGAGGTGAACCACAATGATCCATCCATTGGGGAGAAGGAAAAGGAGTTGAAGCTTGTTGTGGGACAAATATGGGATTTAGCATACTTTATTACTTTTAGCAAAGTAATAAAAACAGAAAAAAACACACTATTGATATAAAGTATAGTATAATGATTGATAAAAACAAAAGGAAAAGAAGCAACACATTTCAAAAAACTCTCAAAAAGGTGCAGATGATGAGACTGTATACTTGAAATAGGATGGGGGAGGGAAATCCTAATTTTTGGTCATTTTTAAAAGAGGTAATAGAGAAACTTTCCGAAATGTGGTAAGAACCTTTGGGGGGGGGGGGGAATTATGAAATGATGATGGACAAGCATATTTTAAATGACCTTTACAATTTTATTTCCATCTCCTCCTAGGAACTAAAAGAACAAGCAAAAGCTGACAAGATTAAACTAGCATTAGAAAAACTAAAGGAAGCCAAGGTTAAAAAGGTAGGGTTTATATGATTGCACTGCCCACTATCCACTACCCATTATTCACTTCCATTTCTTTAACTACCATGTTTGATGCACAGGTTCTCTTTAAGGAACGTTAAACCAAATTACAAATGCATCCAACTTGTAACTTTTAGATTTATAACAAAAATAAGTTATTAAATGCTTTGTGGGTATATTAAGGGTATTTAAATGCTGTGGTTATATTTTTGGACAAACTGGGAACAGTGTTTCTTTTCTGATGTCAACCCTATAAGGTAGACTAGACCAAGAAACCAATGCCATATGGGTCAGATCTGTTTTTATTGTAAGAGTTCTAGTAATCGAATCTTGCAAGTCTGAATGTGTTTCCATCTTTCTCACTTTACCTTCATTGAATTAGGGAGAATTTTTTTTTCAAATTAATTTCTTAGGATGGGCTCAAGTCCCACTTGTCTGACCATTGCTTTGGTAGCCAGTGTTCCTTTCCTGTCTTTCAAGGCCATTCCCTAAGCCCTGTAGATCTGCCTACACCAGTACCCAAAATTAGGAGCTCCTGCCTAGCAAAAAATACTCCACCATATTGCTGAAGGAAAAAAAAAATAAAGGAAATCTAGGTGTAGACCATTGTAGATATGGCGGATAAGCTATCAGTGCTTCAAGTTATTAAGGCTAAACCAGCGATAAGCAGGAAGATGCCTTTATATGTGGGTTTTCCAGATTAAACTGGTTGACCACCATGGAAATGTATTAATTTCCATATTGTTGGTGTTCAATCTGATCCAGCAAAACTCTTATTTTATTTCTACTTGGAAGCAAGGCCCTATCCGTAATCTCAGTTAATGGTTGGGAGAAGGCAATCAACCCATTCAGCCAATTTTGGCCCTGCCAAGAACTCCCATCTAGATCTTACGTCTAGTAAAATGGGTACAGGATTGCAGTAGGGGGATAATGATATATCCTATCTGAGATAAATTGCTGACAGCTCAAGTATGTAGGAATGTCATAATTTCGTAAATTACCTTAATTTTTAAAATGCACACATAAAATAAGCAGAACAAATGCTTGTTTTTTCTTGATTTTCTTCTTATTTCTCTGCGATCGTAATATTCTTGCTTTAAAATGAGCCTTTAAAAAGAAATTGTCAAAATTCACATATAGCAAGAATTCCTGAAAAGACTATTGTAAAGGAAAGAGCGTTATAGTAAAAGTTCATAATAAAAATAATGCTGAAATTTCCAGGATTGATTTTAATGAATTTTCAGTATGTCCACTTATGACCACAGTTGCATTAAATTACTCTTTCTTAGGCAAAAAAAACCCATTGCATAAAAAACGCCTCTGCTTTTGGGGCCTTTGATTGGACCCCCCTTAAAATCAAAGAGAAATGTTAGAAATGACTAAATTGCATTAATTTGGTGAGAGTCAAGACCAAAAAATTTCATTTGGATGCAAAGCCAGATTTAAATGCTGGTCTTTGTGAACATATTGTCCAAAACCAAGTTCACAATTCATTTAAAAATTTTATTTAATCAAAAGCATACGTTAAGACAGGGGAGAACAAATCTGAGGGGGTGATGAATGAAAGATGGATTATTTCTCTCAATCTAATTTGTGATACAGGACGCATTTGAATCTGCAATAATCTTCCATTTTTATCAGCCATGGCAGACTTTTGTGTACTCTGGCCTTTTCTTCCAGGCTGAAATTAACTGACTGATCTATTATTTTCTTCCCAGCTTGTTGTCAAGGTGCACATGAATGATAACAGCACAAAGTCTCTAATGGTGGATGAACGGCAAGTGGCACGTGATGTCTTAGACAATCTCTTTGAAAAAACCCACTGTGATTGCAATATAAACTGGTGCCTTTATGAAATATATCCTGAACTACAAATCGGTAATTTTCAAACCATCAGCTATATCTTCTGATATTTGTATAGTTTTCCCAGAGAGCATTTTCTGGATTCAGCCACCCAGCCTGTTTCTGTATTAAATGACAAGTGTGCTGTTTGTTGCGTTCTAAAGCTGTGAATGGCTGGTGTGCATTTTCATATGTGTATTCATATAGGCGTAATAGGAAAAAATTGGCTAATCAGACAGATGCTCACTTCATACAAATAAGGCTTTTTATCTGCCAACTAAATTTATCAACACTTTTAGGAAGCTTCTTGTTTTGATGAAATTACTCTTGTTTCTGCCAATTTAGCAAAAAAAATATAAAGGCCTAATTATTAAGATGGACAGTCATTTTAAGTTATATTTCTTTCTCTTCCCCTCACTCCTTCTCTAGAAAGATTTTTTGAAGATCATGAAAATGTGATTGAAGTCTTATCCCATTGGACTCGAGACACTGAAAATAAGATACTATTCTTGGAAAAAAATGAAAAATATGCTGTATTTAAAAACCCTCAGGTAAATTAACATGACAGAGGCCAAGCGTTATTACCCTGTAAGTTGTAAATTTCTAACAGGACCACAAGCATCTTTGAGAGAAGCCACACAAATTTCTTAAAATAATTTGTCCAAGCAAAACTAGTTGTAGTACAAAAACTGGCAGCAGGCTTGGGTAGGTAAAGACTAGAGCAAGTTTTGAGAGGCTAAACCTTTGGGTCTATGCATATATCAAAACCGCCTGCCAAAAATAAATTTTGTTTATCATTTAGTTATTTGGTTTTTATTAAAGGGTATCCCAGAAATTCATTTACCATTTTAAAATGTAATGATATTGCAGTTTAAGACTGTCTGCTATAGCTGCACCAGTAGAGGGCAGAAAATAGATATGGATTTATTCACTTCTGTAATATAGAGATAAGGATTTAATCAATAAAAGGTACAAATTGCTTATCCACATTCTTAATAATTCACACATTGACTGCCTATGATTAAAAATAATACAGCTTTGATAACAAAGAACAGCTGTAGTGAAGAAACCCCACAGATGTTTCTGGTGATACTGAAAGCATATTATTCAAGACATAAATAATTGTGTACAAAATCCCTGTCTTCCATAGAACGTTCAAGTATTCGCCAAAATGTTTTGTTGTTCATATGATTCATCTCTTTCTGGAAGTAAATTTGTTTTGGGGGAGAGGATATCAGGTGTAGATGAGCAAAATTAATTCATATTTTGGAAGATGTACTTTTTATAAATGATTAACCATTCTTAGAATGATTACATCAGTGCCTTTCAGGAGAAAAAACAAGACGAAAACATTTTATGAACAGAATCTCTGTATACATGCAACAGGGAAAAAAGTAGATCTCACAAACCTGAAGTGTGTCCAGTATTGATTTACTTTAGGTCATGTAATGATACTTATTATGTTGATTTTAAAGAACAATTCAGAAACAAGAAAAGTTGAGCGGAAATTTTCAAAGATATTTTTTTTTGTTGTTAGTTGCGAAGTCATGTCCGACCCATCGCGACCCCATGGACGACGTTCCTCCAGGCCTTCCTATCCTCTCCCATCTTCTGGAGTCCATTTAAGTTCACGCCTACTGCTTCAGTGACTCCATCCAGCCACCTCATTCTCTGTTGTCCCCTTCTTCTATTGCCCTCAATCTTTCCCAGCATTAGGCTCTTCTCCAGTGAGTCCTTCCTTCTCATTAGGTGGCCAAAGTATTTGAGTTTCAACTTCAGGATCTGGCCTTCTAAAGAGCAGTCGGGGTTGATCTCCTCTAGGACTGACCAGTTTGATCGCCTTGTAGTCCAGGGGATTTGCAGGAGTCTTCTCCCGCACCATAATTCAAAGGCCTCAATTTTTTGGCGCTCAGCCTTTATGCAATTTTCACAGCCATACATTGCAACTGGGAAAACTATGGCCTTGCCTATACATATTCAAAGATATATATAACACCTATTTTTGCTCCTAAACTTATATTCTAGAACAGGGATTCCCAACCAGGGGGTGCGAGATGATATTCCAGGGGGTGCGAAAACTTGGGATTTCAAAATTATAGTGTATATGCATAATTAGTTGCCATTATTTCAAACTTTTGTAAGGGGTACGAGAATATATCAGAAGCTTTCTAAGGATGTGAGGTGTAGAAAAGGTTGGGAACCACTGTTCTAGAATAATCACTATGGGTATTAATGTAGCACTAACACCGACACTTTCTAGAATTTCTGTCTTTGTTGGGTTGAAACCCACATTTAATAGGCTGTAGACATGATTGTGTTTTGGGTGCTCAGCAGCTGGCCTGTATTTACAGCTGTTGCATACATTAAATACTGTTGATAACATGACCATGATTCATGATGTTTTTGCCTAAAACTGGCATATATTTTTGGTTTTTGGCAAATATGCACCATAGTGAACCACAGGTTCCCTTAATGACTGCCATTAAATTTGGTTACGACTTAACGACTATAGTGGGCAGGCTCTTGTGTATGGGGAAATACAATTTATTTACGAAGGAGAAAGACTATTTCTTTCAAATAATTTAACTTTAAAATAGAAAGCACATTTTAGATTTGGTGAAAGTTTAGTAATGAAGGCAGACAGTTTGTTTGTATCCTTTTTGGAAGGATGTTGCCATCAATTCAGAGTCATCTTCCTTTTAGCTAAGTGTAGTACATTTCTATATCCTTATTTTTGTAATTGGTTTTCTCAGAGCAATCATATAAAGAGGTTGTGTTTCATGGAACTACAGCAATGATTCAATAAGTAGAAGGTCAAAACTTTTTACCAAAAGCTAGGGCTTCAAATAAACCTACATTTTCCAAATAAATGAACCAATAGAAATGACTTCTTAAGGTAATGGCTGATTTCCAACATAGCAAAGTAAATCTGCTTTTTTGTTGGCATAATTGGAGTGTCTCAGTACATGAAGCTTTACTTTAGGCTTATCCTAAGGTTTTAATTTATCCTACGATTGCAAACAAGATATATGTCACAGGGAGAAAAAGTAGATCTCCTAAGTCTGAAGTGTGTTTTGTTCAGTGGGAAAGACATCATTTGGTGCAAAGTCTCTGTGCAGTGCAGTGCAATGAGCCAGAGAATCCACTCCTTTTTTAGTTAATCAGCTGGATGTTGTATAGTTAATAAGGAAGAGCCAGGTGCAGTTATTCAACAGTGAAAATACACATAATGACTATCCAGCTGCTTCATTCATTGCATACCAGCTTTCTTGTGTACTGATGGATGAAGGGTGGCCTAGATGAAATAATTTTAGTCTAACGGTACTCTAGTTTCTCAAAAAAAAATAAGAACTGAACAAGAAACATGAACATTTTCGGAGATATTTTAATGTTCACATTAGGCCAGCTTGATTTCTCCTTCCATGTTTGTTAAACATGGGACATGAGAAAACATGAGAAAAAAAAATCTTGATGTGTGTAGGACTGCAAGTTCCATGATGCCCAGCACATTCTACAAGGCAAAGTTATTTTGTTATTTACTGCTGGCAACAGAATTGAGTTTGTTCAGTGGGGAGAATAACAGCAAGAAGATTGGACTTGGTGTCTACACAAAATGCAAAAAACAGCATTGGTAGACTTCCTAGGAATATCTTTACTGTGCAAACCTTGTTATAAGTAATGTGGGGTGTTAGAGAATTTTAATTTCTCTATTGGTGAAAAATAAATCAGAAGCTGTCACAGTTGACTGCATTTAGCCGATTCAAATAACTTCTTTATATCGAAATATTTACATTACCATACATTCTTCTTTACAGCAACATAGCTTAACTGAAGACTTCTTACAGAGACAAAACTTGAGACTGGAAATCCAGTTCCTAACTCAATACTCCTTTTTGCACAGACTCAGTAGCACTTTCCTCACATTGGCTGACTGAGTTACCACATGACTCTTCCTATTCATGAATATTCCAACACTCCTCCCTTCATGACAGGAAGAGACATCAGACCTATTAATTTAATACATTCTTTAATCGTGAAAAACCTTGTGCCACTAACCTGGCCTTATACTGTATATCATTATTTGGCAATACCTTTTTCTTATATACCCACTTACAACCCACAGCTTTGGTTCCCTGTGGCAAAGTCACTGATTTAAATACTTCATGGTCTCCCATGGATTTCATCTCTTTATCCATGGCCTCCTTCCATTTTTCTTGTTCAGCTTTTGGTAATGCCAACACCTCTTTATAACTTCTTGGCTCATACCACACATTGCAAACCTTTACCTTGCTGGCAGAATACCTGTCAGGCGGAATTCCTTTAGTACATCGTTCTGACCTACGTGGTATTAACTGCTCCTGTGTCTCAAGTCTTTCTGGCTTCATGTTTTGTTCAGCCTCTCCTCCCTTAACATGGACATCTTCAATAATGATTTTTTCATCATTAGATGTATTATTGTCACTAAACAGATCACCGTCATTAAGTGAGACATACCCAGAATTTGCATTAATTCTGTCCCAATTTTGTTCTGCAAAATTAGCAGACCTTGAAATTATAATTCTTTTACTTCCATCGCTAAAGCGATATCCTTTTGACCCTGGCTCATAGCCCACAAACCTGAGCTTTCTTGCCTTTTGCTGTCCCTTTCTTCTGATTACTTTTGGTATATGTACCCATGCAGTACTTCCAAAAATTCTCAAATAGAATGGCATATGGAGTATTATTGAGGAACTCCACAGCCTGTTAGCTATATAATTGGCAGTCAATATGGCTTCTCCCCAATATGATTCAAATCAGAATCCTCCAATAATGAATCTTTCATTGTTTGCAAAACACCATTCCTTCTTTCAGCTACACCATTCTCTGCTGCTGTGTAAGGATTTGTACGTCTGTCTTATCCCCAACTGCCCCAACCATTGTTGGAATTTAGTTGACATAAATTCAGTACCTCTGTCAGTTTGCAACTGACACACTTTTTGTCTGTACCTTCTCTCTACAAAACTTACCCACTGTTTGAATTGTTGTAGCACCTCTGTCTTTGCTCTAAGCAAATAGCAAAATGAATACCTGCTATAATCATCACCAGTGCATATTTTGCTCCTCCCAAACTGGCTTGCATAGGTCCCATCAGATCTGCATGGACCAGCTCTAGAACTCTTTTTGTTTGTCTTGTGCTACATTTACTAACTGGGAATGCCTTTGACTTTGATGCTTTGCATACTGCACAGTCCAAATATGTTTTGCATCCTTCAAATTTAGCCCTTCTGCAAAATCTTGCATTTGCTGTAAAACTTTAAAGCTTGCATGGCCAAGTCTTCTATGCAGAAGATGAACACATGAATCATGCTCTGCAACATTCTTAAATATATGGGAACATTGAACCTTTTGTCCCTGCAATACATATAGATTATGTTCCTTTATGCCTTCTGCACAAATATTCCCATTCCTTTTGATGAGACATTTCCCATTTACAAAAATGACCTCAAAACCTTGTTTGTCTAAATTAGACACACTTAACAAATTATGTTCCATCTCAGGTACACAAAGCACATTGGTAAACTTTGATTCCAAATATGGAATTTTTACATCGCTTCTTCCGATGACTTTTGCTTTCTGGCCATGTGCTACTGGAACAAACCTGCAAAATAATTCAGAGTCATTAACAATTGTTTGACTTGCCCCACTATCAATTAGCCACTTGTCTCTGTTGTTGCTATTGCAAACTTTTGCAACACCAAAATGTTCCTTTTGCAAAGTAGTCCTTTTTTGCATGCACAAATGTCTTTTGCTGCAAATTGTTCCTTTGCAAACCGTTCCTTTGCAAATGTGTCTTTTTTCCACAAATGTAGCAAGTCTTTTCCCGCTCTCTGCTTGCAAAATCTCTCCTTTGTTGCAATGTGGTCCAGATTTGATCAGCTTGTTTCTTCTCCTCTGGAGACTTGCAGTCTGGACCCCCTCTTCAGGAATTTCTCCTCCTTGTGGTTGCTTCTAAAATGGCGTTTTTCTTCTTCATTAAGCAAACATGCCTTTAAAGCCTCAAACTTTAAGTCTTGCTCTTCTTTGCATTCAGATATTGCAGAAACTGTGTCCCAGGTTTTATCTAAATTGTTCAACACCAATAAAACCTTCTGGGACTCAGGGAATTTAATCCCACGTTCTAAGTTCAAAAATAAACTTTGCATTTTATTTAAATGCTGTTCCACAGATTCACCTGGTTGCAAACAGGCTCTGTAAAGTTTTCTTGACAATTGCACTATGTTGCATGCAGAAACATTCACGTGCACAGCTCTTAACTTCAACCATATCTCCTTTGCAGTCTTTAAATTTGCAACATTTAGAAATTGTGCATCATCTAAATTCAAGATAAGATAAGCCATTGCTCTATCATGGCTTTTCTGATCTGCAGTTGCAAATACTTGTGGTGGATTTTCAACAATATACCACAGCTCTTTTGCTTTCAGCAAACATTCCATTTTTGCAGCCCACACAATGTAATTCTTCTGGCCCAAACAAGGCACACAGTTTTCCTTAAATTCCATTGCAGCCATTCTGCTAATTCTGCCTTGTTCTTATACTTTCTAAACACAGGCAATTTCTTCCAGCTTTAAATTATAACGCAGTCCTTAGTAAGCTCTGGGCCCATAACCTGTTAGAGAATTTTAATTTCTCTATTGGTGAAAAATAAATCAGAAGATCTCACAGTTGACTGCATTTAGCTGATTCAAATAACTTCTTTATATCAAAATATTTACATTACCATACATTCTTCTTTACAGCAACATAGCTTAACTGAAGACTTCTTTCAGAGACAGACCAGAGACAAAACTTGAGACTGGAAATCCAGCTCCTAACTCAATACTCTTTTTTGCACTGACTCAGTAGCACTTTCCTCACATTGGCTGACTGAGTTACCACATGACTCTTCCTGTTCATGAATATTCCAACATGGGGTATAGAAAGAGATCCTCATAGTATTACATACGTTTGTTTAGAATTTTAATTTTCTTGAATTTAGGAACACTTTCCCTAGGAAATGCTGTTAACATTGGATTCTCAGTGTTATCAGTGACTAATGCCCCAATTTAAAATAGCCATAAGCCTCTTCCAGAAATGAATGTTTCCATTCATTGGATCCATTGAGGCAGGATTTGGAATACTTAACCTGCCTTTTTGTTATTGTTGATTTTCTCATCTGATGTGCCCCAAAGCAGAAGAAAGGAAACAATCCTGTTACAATGATTGAGGACAATATTTCTCAGTCCTAGCAAGTATAGGATATGTGGACTTCAATTTCCCAAATTCTCTCCAAGATACTGGCTGGGGAATTTTGGAAGCTATAGTCCACATGGATAAACACTGATCAAGCAAAATCTAGAGCAGTTTAGTTAGAGGGGCTTATCTTGGATGATAAACTCTATTTCTTGCTCTGTGCTTAGAGCTTTTTATTTGAATGAAAACTTGTTTGTAAGTAATAAAATAGATAGCTGATGAGAAAGATAGCTAAAACGCAGCTTGACCTAATATCATCCTGTCTCAGTCATGTTTGGGGGCTTATTCAAGTAGTAACTGGCTATTTTATTGGTTCATTTGTCTTTTTTATTAGAATTTCTACTTGTCAAACAAAGGAAAAAATGAAAGCAAGGAAATGAATGAGAAAAGCAAAGAAGCATTATTGGAGGTAAACTTATGTTAACAAATTGTGCATTTGATTGTAAAACAACTGCTTAAGTTCTTCCTTGTTCCTGAAATAGAACTGAAATATTTCAGTTCTCCATTTGATGCAATATAAAAACAGGAAGTTCAGACTTCAGGGTTGTATTTTAAAAGTCTAAAAAATCAAGTAACTTCAACATGTGTAACATGAGGAAACTGATTCTGACAATTTGGGTCAAGTTAGAACCGATTCACAGGACCATGGAAACTGACCTTGACAGTTATATGAGTTTAGGAAACAAATTGATTCTGTGATAGACCCATGACAAAGGGCTGGCGAGAGATATCTCAGCCATAGAAGGAACGGAGACATAGAAAGCATCTCGGAAGAGTCTCCTTTCTTCTCTGGGATTTAAAGGCAAGAGAGAGAAGAAGTGCTTTCATAACTCAAAGTGATTTGTCCCAGTAACCTTGCAATAAGAGTTAGTATTCATGGGTTTGGTTTCCTGCCTGGATGACTTTAAAGGTCTAACATATATACTCGAAGAAATAGAAACTTGTGATCTCATTCCGAACATATCCGAAGATCCAGGGCTTCCTAAAGGGCTAGGTTTTTGCTTGGCTTCACCATGCTAAAGAGGAATATTCACTAATTATTGTGAGGTTGTCCAAAATAATTATTTACCTTCTCACATATTTGAAAGAGACTAACAGATTGAAATGTTTAACTCTACAGGCACATACATTTAATAAATAAATAAATTTACTAACTTCGTTTAAAAACTATCTATTAAATTTAACATTTATTGCCTTGTTATAAGCTCTGCCAGTGTTTTAAATATGAAACTGCTCTCAAAATCCCAAAATCTTCAAGCTTGAGTCTGGCAGGTGATAGGTACATCTGCCTGCATTTCCAAAATGCATGATGCACTTGTTTGTTTTTAATACTTGGGTCTGTGTGTGCTTTGATTTAGGAAACTTTTTTCTTATTCCAAATGTTTGGCCACCTGGTGACTCTAGCTATTTCCGGGCTTTGCTCTAAGCTGTAAGCTGTAGAAGCCTTGTTTTTCTTATAGAACAATGATGCTCTCCAGTTGTTTCAGATTGTACCTGTCATACTAGAAATTACATCAAAACTGATGAGAGTTGGTTCAAAACATAGAAGACCCTAGCTTGCAGGTCATTTCAGAAGAACCAGCATTCAGTCCTTGGTATCTCTGTATAAGTTTGGCAAATATTCCTGGAGGAAATATGGGTAATTGGCAAATAAATAAGCTTGTCTCTTTTGAGTTTCAGTATTTAGTGACTGTGATCTAGACCAGGAGTCTTCAAACTTGGCCCTTTTATGACTTATGGACTTCAACTCCCAGAATTCCTCAGCCAGATTTCCTTATGTTTTGCCAGCAACTATGGCTAGTATCTTCAGAGGCAAGGTAGTCATAAAACTCTGAAGCCCAATCCTGCACAATTTGGCAAATATTCTTGAAGGAAATTTGGTAAAGCTGCTCTAACCAGTGCAAGCCTTATGGAGGTTACTTTAAAACCATGCCACCAAAAGCTCTTATTTCAAATTCAGCCACTGGTCAGTGCCTGTCCAAGAGTTCAGTGAAGTTGTTCACGTGTTCAGGGGGTCAAGCATTGCCCTGTTTTTGATGGTGGTCAAGGGAAGATCAAAGTTGATGGACTGAATGGAAACTCAGGCTTTGGAAGCAAAACTGAACAAGCCATGTTGTAAAACACGTGGCTTATTCACTTACTGCTCTGTCTCACCACTTTTTCTCTCTGCAGGAAAGCTTCTGTGGTACATCTGTTATTGTACCAGAAGTTGAAGGTGCCCTTTATTTAAAGGAAGATGGAAAGAAGTCCTGGAAGAGGCGCTATTTTCTTCTACGAGCTTCAGGCATTTATTATGTCCCCAAAGGAAAGACCAAGGTCAGGCATGTCAAAGAAATGCTTTGAAGCATTAAAGCAATTTGTAAAAGGGAAGGCAAGGAAGCCTCCAGGGAACCTTTGAGGAACGGTGTCTGCTATTTGGGCAAATATGGAGAATGGGTGGCAGAATTCCCTTGATACTTATTCCCTTTATAGACTACTCTTTTATTTTTCAATAATAATCAGTTGCATTCATAAAAATTTCAGTCATGAAGAGAAATAACATCTCTGAACTGCAGTTGGTCATCCACTGCAGAATTATGTAATCATTTTTGCTTAATTTTAAAGAAGTAGAATAGAATGGAATAGCTTTAAATGTCAAACAGCAGACAAGAAAGCTGCCATTGTTTGGGCAAGGCCAAGGAGAGGATTAGCCTGGGAGCTTCTTTTGTTTTACTCCTCCTCTTATAGAGAATGCTAGAAAGCATTCTGAAATCCATTTACATAGATGCATATTTTTCCTGAGTGGTTTTTTTTCCCCCATGTGTCTAAATCATACAGTGGCAGGGGTGTCCACAGTCCGGGATCAAACACATCAGAATGGCTGCCACAACCATACTCTTTTTTTCCTTATGACTACACCTTGGGATTTTTCTGCTTGCCCTGGGGGTACCCTCCGCAATTTTTAATTTGAACCTGGTTAGTCAGAGGGATTCTCTGTTTCTTTTTTAAAAGATATATGTATAGGGAAGATCCGTTTTTCAGCAATTCTTGTGAACTAGGTTCTGAAAAGCTACTAATAGTTAAAAAACAACTACAGGTAGTCCTCAATTTACAATAGTTCACTTAGTGATCGTTCAAAGTTACTACGGCATTGAAAAAATGACTTATGACCAGTTTTCATACTTATGACCATTGATGTATCCCAAGGTTACGTGATCCCCTTTTGTGATCTTCTGACAAGCAAAGTCAATGGGGAAGCCAGATTCACTTAACAACTGTGTGACTAATTGAACAATTGCAATGATTAGCTTAACAACATGGCAAGAAAGGTTGTAAAATGGAGCAAAACTCACTTAACAAATGTCTCCCTTGTGGGGCTCAATTGTGGTCATAAAGTGAGAACTATCTGTATATGTACATGAGCCAGGAAGAATTTAGGGCCTGTTCTATTTCATTCAGATTGGTTCTCCATCCACAGATCCTTCACTGGGAAGCTTTGTTGCCATGGCAACCCATTAAGAACAGCCAATGTGCATTGTATGATAGTAGAAACACTGTTTGGCAGGAGTGCAAATTGGCACAGAATGACAGATGAAGTTTTCACCTACGTACAAATAAATTCAGTATGCATTACTGAAAAGTCTCCTCCCCCCTTCCCTATGAATTCTATGCACCGTTCTTGAACAGAATGGTAATGTTTTTGTGGGTTTATTTGCTTCAAGTCCTCAGAAGCAAAATGCTACATATCTTCGCCATCGCTCCTAAACTTACAATGTGTTACAAAGGTTCCACTGTCATTAATCTCAGATCAATAAGTACATCAAAAGATTATCCAAGGCATTAACATGAATAAATGGATAATTATTCTAATAACTAAAGATTGTGTTTTTAATTTTTAGACATCCCGTGACTTGGCTTGTTTCATACAGTTTGAGAACGTAAATGTTTATTATGGTATTCAGTACAAAATGAAGTATAAGTCCCCTACTGATTATTGTTTCGTCTTAAAGGTATGTATTACAGAACATGCACTCTTATTGTATAGTGTATTGTGTACTAAGTTATATTTGGTGATCATGCATTCCTATAATGTCTATTTAAAAATAATCCTTGCTGAGTTTAATAAGGTATAGGAATATCTGGAAGGAATAGTCAAAAAAGTTAGCAGCCACAATAGTGCAATCAAAACTCTGGCCATTTTTATGTGTAACACACATTAATAAAAAGCAGGGTATCAATCATACCGTTGTGTCCATCTTTTGACTTATGACTATATGTCCAGACATCCCTGATAAGGCTCATTTTCAGCTAAATGGGTATATCTTATAGAAAGACTGTCTAATTTTTCAGAATAAAAATTATTTTTTGGTAGCCACATAAGGATTTGATAAGGAGATTATTATAATTGTACAACATGGGTTTGTGTTAGGACCACTGCTAGCTCGTTCATAAATCATCTATTTGTAGTGACATTGTCAGGTTTGTAGGTGATGCTAAATTTTGCATGCTAGTGAAAGACAAAAAGTAATTCATTTTCCAAATTGAATGAACCATATTTTGGCCTACAGTTCAAGCATGATGGAGCAAACAATCTAGTTGGGGTTCAGATGGACAGTTCAGTGGAAGTGTTATCCATGTGTATGGCAGCTGTGAAAAAGTAGATTCCATGTCAGGGTTCATTAGGAAAGGAATGAAAATGGCAGCAGAACCAATTATTCAAGAGGTGGTGGGTTCCTCTTCACTGAGTGTATTCACACACAAATTACCTGGTCATTTAGAGGGAATATTTTAATTTGGATTCCTGCACTCATCAGGGCTTTGGGCTGCAAAGAGTAGTAAATGGTCCGTTCCATTTCTGTGATTGCATGGAAAGAATAACCCTTTGAAGAAAAGGTTGATACTGAACATTTTAGACTTTTAAATTATGGGGAAAGAAGTGAGTCAGAGGTAATATGGTAGGAGTTATAAAACTTTGTATGTATGGAGAAAAGGGAAGAATTTCCCCCTCTCTTTTGCTCATCATATTTCAGCCAAATACTATGAAATAATTTTGGGTAACAGTGATAAGCAAAGGGAGTCACATCCTACATGCTTAATTACACAACAGCAGTTGCTTCCCTAAGATGTGCTTAATAACTAATAACGTTGATAGTGTCAGAAATAACTCATGCATGGAAGTAAAGAGCATTAGTAGTTACTGATCATAATAGTTACATGCTGTTTAGGTAGCCTGTAAGAAATGTAAGCCCTCAGTATATAAATTTGATTTTACAGAAGGGAATACATGAATGTGTCTGATGTATGCAAACTTTTGCTTACAAAAAGGTTTGCTGAAACTGAATAATCTAGGACAGTATTTCTCAATCTCATGATGATTGGAGAATTCTGGAAATTGAAGTCTGTACCTCTTAAAAGTTTTTGAGCTGGATAAACACTGAACATCATTTATGCTCATAAGTATCCTTTTTTTCTACCATGGTTTCAAATTCTTAGTTTTAATCTTTAATCTAGTTGGCTATTTAATCTACAGTCTACTCGTCTGAGGTCTTATCATAAACTTGCCAGTTTTACGAGAGAATCTTTTAAGTATTTTGCCCTTTTAGGGGCTGCTTGGCACACATACACAGGAAAAGATCTCCTTTGTCAACGATTCCTAGAATATGATCCCTATGAGGCTGCAAAAAGGGAATCAAAAGACATCTTTTTCATTTAATCTTCAAAGTGGTTTAAGTAATTTTCCTATTAGTTTTCAGAAATTTTACTCATGTTTTGCTAGGATTATGGTTTGCTTCATTTCCTATCTTGGGAGTTTTCAGAAAGGTGTTACAAATGCTTTCAGTAAGGAAAGCCATATTTTCCACATTGTGGGTAGCTAAATGACAGGGGTCAGCCTGATGGAATGCTCAATCCTGCCAGCTATTTAAGAGGGCCAACCCTGGGGAAATAAATTAAAAACTATACATTTTGTTGAAATAAACAAAAATGTTTTCAGCTGCCATTATTTTGTTGATGTTAATGAACAACCAAAGAATTTGCAATCCTGGCTTAAATCAGTAAAGATCACTCAAACTGAGAAGATAAAATTTTGTCAGCAACATTTCCTGGTAGTTCAGATTCAGGTTCTGGGCAGTACATTATGTAGCATTTCTTTAGAAAATTTAAAAAGCCACCAAAAAAAAACTTCACAGCTGGTGCTAGTAAGGTAATCTATATGTAAATTGGCTCATTTAGTCAGTCTGTTATGTCTTGGATACCAGGAGAATTTAATTATGCTTTATTGGCACAAGTTTTGCTTGAGTAACCTGAGAGTAATGGTGCATAATGTGGAATTAATCTAGGGTGAAAGAACTGGTACCCTGGGAGCAAACTGGCACAATAGCTTCCTCTTATCCCATTTCCATTGCTTAGTACTTTCCTTCGGAGCTCATGCAGTTCATTTTCCTAATTCTTTCAAACATTTTGCTCTCTCTCAAATTGGGTTGTTGTATTCTTTAACAACAGTGTGGCTAGCAACATTGCTTGTTTACTAATAGCATTTGCGGCTTTCCCTGAAATAAAATGGAAAAGATCATTCATCTGAATCTGGGATTTGTTTTGGTGCCTCCCACGTCTGACTCCTTGAAAACAGCACAAGAGGATAGCCATGTTAGACTATGGTGGTTAAAAATCACTCTGGTAGCACTCTTCAGACAAATAGATTTTATTAAAATGCCTTTTTAATTCATTTATTTGAGAAATATGAAAAGGCATTTAATAACCTTTAAAAGATACTTCCAGCCACTTTCTGATCTTTCTAAAGTAGTGTTAAAGTAGTCTTTAAGGAAGAAGAGGTCTGTTATGTGGAAGTGTGTAGTGGTGTTTGGATGGTACAGATGACCCATTCTCATGTTGTAACTCCTATCTCTTGAGGGCAGGCTATTATGGATATTCTGGTTAAATATAGTGCATGTGTTTTCCTTTAAAAGTTGCCTTGTTAAGACTATACTTGGAATATTGCATCCAATTTTGATTACCACAATATAAAAAAGATGATACTTTAGAACAGACATGTCAAACTTGTGACGTCACATGACATTGCGCGACGTATTAGAGCTTTTTTCCCATTGCCAGCAATGGGATGGGCGCGGTTTCCTGGTGATGTGTCTGGCCCACAGGCCAGTAATTTGACACCCCTGCTTTAGAAAGAGTGCAGAGAAGAGTAACAAAGATGATTAGGGGACTGGAGGCTAAAACATATGTAGAATGGCTACAGGAAATGGATATGTCTAGCCTAGTGAAAAGAAGGACTAGAGGTGACATGATAGCAGTGTTCCACTATTTGAAGAACCTCTATAAGGAAGAGGGGTCAACCTATTGTCCAAAGCACCAGAAGGCAAGACAAGAAACAATGGTTGGAAACTAATCAAGGAGAGAAGCTACCTAGAACTATGGAGAAATTTCCTGACAATGAGAATAATTAATCAGTAGAATGGCTTGCTTCCAGAAATTATGCTCCATCATTGGAGATTTTTAAGTAGACAGTAGTTGGACAGCTATTTGTTTGAAATGGTACAGAGTCTCCTTCTTGGACAGGGTATTGGACTAAAAGACCTCCAAGATCCATTCCAAGTTTGGTATTCCATTATTCTGTTAAGGTGGCCAGGAGAAAGTCACTTCCTGGCACTTGGTTTTTTTCCCCTTTTAATCCGAGTGGTGAGGTCATTGAAGTTAATCACAGAGAAACCACCACATCCCTCCTCCCACTCAAGTTTCACATAAAATTATAAAGCAGCCTCAATTTTTGTTTTTTTGTTTTTCTGCTGCAGTCAGGCAAAAAAAAAAAAAAAAAACTAAAACGAGTCCCCAGGGTTTATTTCCTATCTTGAGAGTTTTGAGAAACAGGGTAAGTTTGGCACTATAACCAAAAAGATGTTACTTTACAAACACCTCTGAGCTGGTCTTTGCTCACTATTCTAGCTACTCAAGATTCAGATCAGTGTACCTGCCACTCCAACTTATGACAAATTATGATTAAGATAATAATTTATATAAAGTTGCATTTTGAATTTCTGAAATAGCTCCCCCTTCCTATCATCCAACAAATTAAGAGTATTTTAATTAAAGGTATATTGAATTGTGGTATGTGAGAATCAAATCTTGCCCACAAGTTTATTTAACAAAATCATGTCAGCCCTTGCCTCGCAACCTTTTTATCTGAGAGGGGGAAAAATTTCTTGAGGAGATTTGTTTAAGTGATAGAAAAAGAATAGTTTGTCTTTAATTTTTTTTAAAAAAATAAAGATTCTTGATGAAATTATTGAGAAAATCTAGAATTAATATTATTCAGAAAATAAAATATACAAATGAAATATACAAAATAAGCATTATAAGAAAATGTATAATCTTCTGTTTGCATCTGTGTACATATTTCTACCCGTTCATTTCATGATGAATTGATTCTACTCCACAAAAAGTTATGTCTAATAAATATGATAGCCTTTAAGATGCAATAAAACTTTTTTATTGCAATATAGATTAAAAACAGGAAAAGTAAACATTTAAAAATGGGAAAGTATCTGATGCCATCTACTGGATTTATTATGTTACTGCAAAACTATTAGCTATTTTTGTAAGACTAGATACAGATTATTTAGTCAGTAGGTAGATTGGACCAATGTTTGTACATCAGTGTCAGAAGAATTTTGACAGACTGTTTTGCATTGTTGATAACATGTCAGTAATCACATAGAATTAATTTGGCATGTAATTTAGTCCTGGGAGTTTGATTGATGAAAGCTAGCATCCTACCCATGGTGTTGAATAAATATGAATAGGTGATGTTCTCAGATCCTAAGGAAATGGAAAGTTAAAATGAGAAAAAAAATCAGCAGAAAAGGAAGGAAAATTGTTTGCTTTTGGAAAATGCAGATAGTAAATTTGTCTTCCTGTTTTAATCACTTAAGGACAATTTGACAATTAAGAACTGTTCATATATTGGGTTTAACTTCAGAAGTCTGATGTGCTTCAAATTACTTTTAGCTAAATCATATTATAAGTTGTTCCAAGTCAAATTTCCTTTGAATAGTGCACAAATATTTATAATCTGTGATGTTCTGAAATATGACTTTGTGTGATTTATTTACAGATGCATATCCAATTAGTCTCATGTTAATTTAACATTTCATTATTTAAAGCATTATTTAACTCCTTTGTAATCAGTTAAAAATAAAGATAGCCCTTGCTTGCAGTCTAAAATAGCTATAAAAAAAAAGAAGAAATGGAAAGAGAAGAATTTTCTAAAACACCAAGTTTGACTACAGATTTTTAAATACCAATTGCAATCATGTAAACTCTCAGTTGGGTACCATTAATCTTTTGGAAGGGCTGATGAAAAATACTGCTTTCTTCTTTGGTTTCTCAGTTGTTTGCGGTTTAAAGTAGCCAAGATGTAGTGATAGACAAGGAGCCTTGTGTGGGAAGTTGGCTTGTCTACTTGGGTTATTTCAGCAATTTTTTAATGATTAAAAAAATACTGTTGCTGTCATTATTTATAGCATCCTCAAATACAGAAGGAGTCACAGTACATCAAATACCTGTGCTGTGACGAGAAGCAGTCTTTACATCATTGGGTAACTGGTATCAGAATTGCAAAGGTAAGAAGAAAAATGATATTTCTCCATAGTAAAAGAGAAAGTAAATGGAATGATGAAAACCAAAAAGGGCATTATCCCCTTATGAATAAAAATTCGAGTGAATAAACATATAAACATAAACAATAACTGCAGAGTACCTAGAACAGAATTTGTATTGGGAAAATAAATTATTTGGTCAAACAAATAATAGGCTTTCAACCTATTGGTTTACAATCCTGTTTACCAGTTCATAGTTTTTAATGGAAGAGATTTCAAATCAAGCACTGAAGAATTTCTGTTAAGAATTGATGGAACAAGCAGAGAAATGCATGTTCATTTTTTTATGATGGAAAATCTGTCAGATATTTGTGGTGCTTATTTTTCAGTATGGAAAGGCCTTGTATGATAACTACATTGGTGCGGTACAAAAGGCTGAGTTAGCTTCACGTCTGGCAAGGCCAGGAAATACTAAATCCATAGCTTCTGGGGGATCATCTTCAAAAGGTATCCAAATTATTTATTTTTTAAAAAAAAGTTATTGTGAGGATTATAGGCTTAGCTTTTTTCCCTACCATTTGCCAATTGCTATCATTTTCTAACATGTTCAATAATAGTTCATTTTAGGATGTGAATTTTTAGTAACTGAACACATTATAATCTGCATTAGGGAAATAAAGTCATTTGTATCTACTTGATGTAAACCTGAGAAATTTCTCCAAGTGAACAGAGGTTCATTTTATTAATGAGCACTGATGTGAATAACAATTCTGCAGCCAAAGTTTAGAGGAGACCAAAATGGTAAAGAGAAAAGTTCATTTGGCAATAATCACTGCATCTCTCCTGCAGGAGCAGATAATAGCACAGGGATTATTTCAGGTAAAAGCTTACAATATGGTTCATTGTAAGCTTTTTACCTCATGGTCAAACTTTACATTTTGCATATACAGATATAGTCTTATAAAATTCTGACTGGTTGCTTCTCCATCCTAAAATATCCTGATATGCCCACTAATTTGTTTCTTGGTTTCTTTGTAAATGATCTATTTAGAGTTAATAGAGAATGGCCTTTATTTGTCCTCATAACGTGATCTTAATTAGCTTGCTAAGGTGTTCTTCTTGTTCAATTCCAACCACAATTCAGGCCAGATTTGCACTGTCTTCCTGACCCATTGCCAGAGCAGGCCACTCACCATTTCCTGACTACCGGAGTGGTTGGTATCATCCTCCACCTTCTCCTACCCTCTGCTTTTGCATCCCTGCAGTCATGTTTGGAAGCTCTGCTGTTTTTTGTCTTGAACCATTTTAAGTCCTTCTGAACAGTTCATCTACCACAGGGGTGTCAAACTCGCAACGTCACGTGACATGTCGTGACATTTCCCCCATTGCTGGCAATGGGGTGGGCACGGTTTTGGCGTGACGCATCCGGCACATGGGCCGGCAATTTGACACCCCTGATCTACCAGGCTTTATTCCAATCTAGGACATCCTCAGCTTTGCTTAGCTATAATGCTTGGTACCCTCATCCCTTCCAATGCAGTTCACTGCCCTCTAAGGCTATTTCATCCTGGGCTGTTATATCTGCAAGTGGTCAGATCAGAAGAAAACAGTGACCATAAAGACCAGCTCTCCTGCCATTTTCCTTACCTCTTACGCCATCTGTTGTACCTTTACATTTCTCAGTGGCCACCATTAGTTTTTTCACAGTCTAGAGCAGGGGTATCAAACTGCCAGCCCATGGGCCAGAGGCGTCATGCCGAAACCGTACCCACCCCATTGCCAGCAATCGAGAAAAAGTCGTGACACATCACGACACGTCACATGACGTTGCGAGTTTGACACCCCTAGTCTAGAGAAAGCATGCTCTGCTTTATTTCCTACCTCATGCCTTCTCTCCTGAATTGGTTTCCTTTCCCTTTTTAAAAACTATAGGCACAGAACATAGCTATCAAATTTGAAGGACTTCTACTTCTTTTGTTCAATGAATCTGATTCTTCATTGCTACAGAATTTCTATGGACTTGCAGCGGAATGAAGGAACCTGTTGTTTTTGATCACTGTAGCACTCAGAACAGCGATGCTACAATTAGGAGGGAAAAGGGGAAAAAATCCATGTTAAAGGGCTGGCAAGGAAGGAATTGTGTTGGGAATTAATAAGATTCCCTGCATGAGAAGAGGGTCAAGCAATCAAGCGCTATGGTAGCCATGTTGGACTTGATGGACCCACTGGGTCTTTTTTTTGCTGTCAGTTTTCTATATTTCTATGTTTCATTAGCCCAGGCCTGTTGCCAGAGCACCGCAATCCAGAGAAGAATTGCTAAATAGTTTTCAGGAACAGCCAAAAGCAGCACAGCAAACAGTGTGAAACTGCCTTCAGCATCAGTAAAAACTTTCTGGATCATATTTCTTGTAAAGCTCAACTATATTTTGCTCTCTCATTTATTACACTGAGTAGCTATTCCAGTGCAAGAAACATTTTCCTCAAAGATTCAGTTTCCAAATATCCTTGACTAAACAGGTGACTACCAGATCATTCTCCTAGTTTACTAAGCTCTTAAAGATTGTACACATAGTAGTACATCTGTTTTCATTTTGTTCAGTTTGCTCCTAAGGGTGACATGGTATCCATGCTCCTTTTGGAAATTATGAACACTATTCATCTGCCATCACCAATTTATAAGCTATTTTAATGAGATAGAAAAAGTAGCATATTCTTTTCACAGCAGGGCTCAATAATAAATCACAGCTCTTAGACATCAGTTAGCTGGACTGGCTGCGCAGAAGTCTTAGCTTAGCTCTTTAGAAACTTTACTGCCTACAAGAATAAAATCTTACATACTAGGGTTGATTGTCCAAAATAATGCAAAAAATCTAATCTGTACAGCAACGCTCCTGAGTTTAAATGCTAGGCCTTTTTCTCAGTTCTATCCAAGTTAACAGATACTTGATGGCCTAAAATGGTATTTGAAGTATGTTTACAGCATGATTCTCCCTGGGTTTGCTAGTTCCTGCCTTGCCAATCTCAATTCTTACTGATGATAAGATTATTTTTGTTTAAATCTAATTATTTTAGTAGCTCAGGCAACCCTCTTCTTTCTTCTTTGTTGTATTATTATTATAGGTAGCATTCATGCCAATGGACAAATCCCCCAAAATGTAACCCTTAATACAACAAACACTGCAAAAACTGAAAAATCTGGTGCTATGCCAAAGATACATAATGTAAGTATGTAAGAACTGCAGTCCTCCCTATCTTTTTGAAGAAAGGGTCTCTCAAACTATGGTGGCAATTATCTGTAGCTCAGTTGTAGGATGAGAACGAACCTTCACCCCCATCCTACACTTTTGCTGAAGAAAAAGTCCTGTTCTCTGCCAGAAATGGGAAATAGATGCTGGAAACTGGCCAAAAACATTGCAAATTGTGGTCATATGACTGGAATGTTGCAAACAGCCATTTGTGAAGCACTCAAAGACAATCACACAACTACAGGGATGAGTGTGGCTGTTGAAACTTTGAAAACATGTTGTAAGCAGCTTTTGGAGGCTTCTTTAACTTCAAGCAGTCATTAAGCAATTGATTGTAAGTCAAGGACTATCTGTACCTTGCTTGGGTTAAATTTCAGACATTTTGTTCCTTTTTGTCCGCAGTTTCCCTTGGCAGTGGATAAGGGCACCCACTCCATCTACTGTCAAGTTCAGGGTGTAAATATATAACTGCCACTTACTGACTATTCTATACCTATTAAAAAAACCTTAAAATGCATCTAATATTTTAACGTCATTAAAAAAAGTTTTTAACATTATTTCTTTATAAAGAACGTTACATTTTGTTTCCAACCTCTTCCATTAAGTCTCTTTGTGAATTAACATTTCACAAGAGGGGAGGGGTAGCATAAAAATTTAGTAATTGCAATACTGTGGGTATTAGAGATACCAAATGCAAGTGAACATTAGGCATAGCTAAACCTCTCCTTATGCTTCGTTTTTTCTTTTATAATTTTGGTCCCATAGCTAGTTTGATTTTTTAAAAAATTTATACCAGAATGATTGCATGTATACTTCTGCTAACATTTTTCACAATTCCTCCTAAAAGGATATGTCTGCACGTTATTTTCATGAGGTGTGCATTTTGTGTAATTTCCTACCTATCAATATGTGTCTGTGTGTGTTGTGTATGTGTGCATTTAGCAATTTTAATTGCAAAATTCAAATAGTTTTTAAGGCAAGCTAGATTTCAGTTCAGTATCAATTCATATATTCATATATAAAATTATAGTAGTATATACATAATTTGTTGCCGTTATTTCGAATTTTAGTAAGGGGTGTGAGAATATATCAGAAGTGTTCTAGGGGTGTGGGGTATAGAAAAGGTTGGGAACCACTGGACTAGAGAATTTGGAAGTTGAAGTCCACACATATTAAATTTGTTGAAGTCGAAAAACACTGCTCTAAATGATTGCTTCTTCAATAATAGGCTATATACCAGTGGGAAACTCTTGACTGAATACTCTTTTTCCATAATCAGGAAGTATAATTTCTTGTAATTTCTTAGTCATATGCTAATCATTTTAAAATCATTTTTAAGGTTAAAAAACCAGATGATACCTTCAATGTTAGTCAAGCATCATCCCTACCTGTACAACAGGTGAAACAGATCCGCAAACCTGGTGGTTTGCACCCTCCTCCCCCTCCTCAAAGACGGTCTTCTACTATTGCTGTTTCATTGGACCTACCCACCATTGGTGAGAGGAAAAATCCAACTTTCTTACCAAATTATGAAGAATTTCCACCACCCCCTGAATTTATACCCCTTCCTCCAAATTTGGAAGATCTGCCACCGCCGCCGCCGCCACCGTCTCCGCCACTACCTGAATACTATGAATCTCCTCCTGATTTCACTCCCCCTCCCCCACCTTTTCTTGCTACTGGCATGGGCTCTGCGGAACTACTACCACCTCCGCCACTGCCTCTCCTCTCTGCCCCCGGCCTTCCTCCTGCCACCAAGAAGAAACCACCACCCCCTCCTAGAAGACAAGAAGAAGGTGCTTGTCAGGTTGTAAGACCAAAACAAAGTGGATCAGTTTCCAGGGGACATGCTGCTGAGCAAGGAGATTTCATGTCTGATCTAATGAGAGCATTGCAAAAGAAAAGGAGTGAGTCATCATGAACAAAGTAGGTGTAAACATCAGGTGATCTAAAGGAGTATATGCTAGAAAAAATTATGCAGACACAGACCAAAGGCTTGGTTGAGCTACTGGTTCAATTCCTATGCTCTTGCTTGAAGGCTGAAAAACACAATCAAGCAAAGGAGACGTCCCGGAGAAAAGCAGGTTTCAGAAAAATTGATTTGATCCAGAAGTTGTTTGTTTTTTTGTTGTTTTTTTTTGTAAAGAAAATCAGGAATAATTTAAAACCTGATTAACTTAATGAAGAGCTTTTTTTTTTTCAGATTTCGCTCCGTATCACTTGCATGTAAGAATAACCTGGATAAGGCCTTGGCAGTTTGGCTCATCTAAGCATAGGCTAGAATACTTTGCAGAAATAAGAGTTGTAACACTGAATAACAAATTCACTTCACAGTTTGTAAATTTCCTCTTTCATTATGGGGTCAAAATCTGCCCCATATCTGCCCCTTCTATTTTTTTGTTTGCCATATTTGGATATGGGGAAAATGCAACTCGAAACTTTCATCATGTTATACAATATACTATCTGTTTCCTCAGTTTATTTCAAAGTGAATTTTTTTTTCAGTGATTAATATCTGCAGACAATCTCTGGTTATTTATTTGGTGTAATGCAGGAACATTCTTTTGAAGATAGCTTTAGTTTTTCCATTCTCAACTACTAATTTAGTGATTGTACTAGAACCAGGTAATATCTGAAAATGTTTGTCTCAAAGAAAGTAATTTATTTCTTCTTACTTATATTTTATCATGTATATTTCATTTTTATTCTCCTTTATTTACTGCAATCTGAATAAAACTTATTTCTTCAATCCAGTGTTTAAATTAATTAAAAGCATACACTTTGGAAATTAATGGCTGGATTCATATACCTTATTAAACCATGGTCTGTTTTATGCTATGGCTTCTATAACATTAACAACTTTTACAGATACAGCAATTAAGTCAGTTATGATGGTGCTAAAAATTAAAATTTATAGCAAATTTACAAGTATTTGTAACCTTTCAACATCCCTTAGTCACTTGATCATCATTATAGTCAGTATATGTCTTGTGCCTGATCTGTGGGGGTTTTCTCCACCCCCCCTTGCAGAGTAGAGAGATTGAAGAGGAAGGGCTTGTAAGAGAATATGCTGTTTGCTTTTCTACTTATTGTAAAAAAAAGTCTTACTCAGTCAATAAGACTGAATGGCAGCCTGGGCCTGGGAACCATTGGCGTACAATATAAATAGCTTACATTATGTACTATCTTGATATCTCCATAAATCTCTCTGCTCTGCAGGAGAGAAGGAGAAGAAAAGCAAGCTATTTTCTTCTGCCAGTGCAATTATATTCCTTTTGAAAAATAACTACAGTCAATTGTTCTTTTGATTTCATTTAAGGTTCTCTAGTTTCCTGTACTTGCAAGTCTTAATATGTTAATTGTTTTTTTTACAGGTTCTTTTCTATAAATTGCTTAAGCCAGTAAAGTATTTTCAGGCAAAGCCTTAGTTTATATTTATTTTATATTCTTAATATGGCACTCCCAACTTAATGAGTTTTGAAATCTACCTGAACTTTAACTTTATTGTGCATAAAAAAAATGGCACAATTTATTTTGTGTTCTTCCAATTCTAACTTTTGCTTATTTCTTAGCAACAACCATTCTTTCATCCAAATCAAATAGCAGACCACAAAATATAATTTAAAATCAGGCAATCCCAATTCTCATTTCTTCGCATTTTGGAGAATTTTATATTTAACCCTTTCATAATTCATAATTATGGGACTGAACCTGAGACCCAGAAATAGAGTCTGGGGACTTCACGGATTCTTTAGAATAACTGAGAACAACCTCCTAGTGAACTTGCTGACCAGCAAGAGATTCTGTTTACAATACAAATATGTTCATGTTCAATTTTCAATTTTCAATAACATATCTAAAAGTTTAGTAAACTCCAAACTGCAGATTCTCCTAGCTGCACATTTGAGATCGAATTACAAGCTGGCCTGTGAAACATTGATGACTGTATTCCAAACACAGAACAAAAATGACTCAGTGGCCTTTGATTTACCAGGCAAGCAGGAGGAGCAACTATATTATGTTCACCATGCACAAATGATGTGAATTTTGCAAATTGCATTAATCGTGCGATATCATACTCTGCATGAAAAATCTATGTCAATGGCTAAAAAAGATATACTGGAAGGAAAGTCCTGGGTTCCTTTGGGCTTCTGGTCATAGTAGTTTTGATTATTTATTATTTATATACCACTCATCACAGTTTGACTCTAAATCAGAGTTCTCCAACCTTTCCCCGGAGGGGAGAGCAGCTTCCAAACTGCCAGATTTGTGCTGGCGGCATGTGCACCCCATGGCGGCTAGTGCCTGTTCACACATGCACAAATGGGATGCACACACACACTCGTGCTAGTGTTCCCATTTGCGCCTGCACAAATGGTTGTGGGCTCTAGCACGAGTGGGAATGCACGCCCACACGTGCACGCCCTGGCCAGCCATTTCTTTGGCCCACTGGCCAAGAGCCCGCAACCCAGTACCAGGCCGCAGCCCATAGGTTGGGGGCCTCTGCTCTAGATAGCTTGAAATATAGTAGTACAATATAAATATAAGTATATAAATATATATAATTACATAAACTAATGTAATTGTAGAAAGAAATGTGGAGTGTGGTGGCTCATGAGGTTAGGGCATTCAAGACCTGGCTGCTCCTGCATGGTAGGGTGAGTTCCCATCACTCGCTCATCCTGCCAATCCACAGTTCTAAAGCAGGTGATCACAAGTAGATGGATGGGTACCACTTTGGTGGGCAACTTAATGGGGACATGAAAGGAGCTCCCAACTGGGTATCCTCCAGGCAAAGGTAATGTCACCAGTTGATCCTTTCACCATGGAAACTTCGTGCTTCCGACAGAAGTATAATACAGTGTAGTTCAAGAAGTATTGGAAACAGCCAAAGTTATAGGAAGGTTAAACAGAACAGGAGAAATGGAAATGGAAAAACACAGTAACAATGATTACTATGACTATATAATGTGCTGCCTGTGCATCCTCTCTTTGGGGATGTTGGGACCTGACCAGTGTTTGTTTAATATTTAGGATTTTGTAACTGAAAAGCCTGCAGACTTTGGTGCTGTTATGGTCACACAGCTTCACATCTGTATAGACTTTGGAGTGGGGATTGAGGGAAAGACAGAAGCACAAACAAACTCTGTTTTAATTTTGTCCTGTGCGTTTTTTTGAAAAGGCATAGAAATAAGATATAATTTAGCTTCTCACAGGAGGGAGAAGAATCAGTTTGCCAAAAATAAAAATTGCACCAGGATATCCACAAACACTGAGTTCCATTTTAATCTAGCCTAGCGTGTTGTAGAAATCTAGCAATGGAAAAAAGAAATTCAACAATAATACAATATATTACAGGGAAATGACACCTTTTAATTTAATTAGAAATTATTTTCATCAAGATGAACAACTGACTTTAACATCCTTAGCCCAAGCAGGGGGTCGCTGTGCATAACCAGCTCTTTCAGCCAATGCCTGTACCTGAAATGGATGTTGCAAAACTTGTTGCAAGAAGCGAACCTAAAAAACAAAAGGGAAAAACAGGTGCAGCAGATTTGAAAATGCTTAAACAATACCTTGGTCAGTTAAAGAGAAAACAACTTTAGTCTTTTGTGTATAAAGATTATATTAAGGCAGCTTGTAAATATGTTGTACCTCTGAAAAATCATTTATTTCCGCCTTCTGGACAGCTGATTCTGCCATCCAATTTCTAAGCACATATCTTGGGTTAACAGCTGCAATCAAAAAGAAAATGAATTGCAGATACAAAACATGTGTTTCACTCGAGATCTGCTATACCAAAATCTAGTTCCTTATCACTGCTAGAATAAGAAAAACAGATTTCAAAGATCTGAAAGTAAAAAGAAAAAGATAAAACTGAATAGCCATTGTTCACCATAGTACATTTTATGCTGAACCTGTACTAGAACAATACAAGATGTTGCCAAATACCTCACTTTTTTTCTAAACTGGAAACTTTAATAAAGGTGACAGCCTTTCCATTGCTTCCTTCTCCCAAAATCTGGTTACAGCATATTATAATTGTTATATTAGGCAACAATAGAGAATAATAAATTGCAATTCCTAAAATGATAACATTGTACTTATTAAATTTATATGCCACTGATAAGGCATAACATGAATTTATGAGCCCCTCTCGCCTTAATGAATAAAACTAATTATTTCATAAAGTTAGGGTTAAAAATAACATTTTACATTTATTCACTGCATTTTAATCTCTGTATCAAAAAAACACAATAGAACCTTACAACCTTACAAATTAAAACCATTCCATTCAACATAAAAAAAAACATTTAAGCTTTATTTTTAAGGAGACAGCTTGCTTATTTTTGCTAGCTAATTTTTTCCCTAGGTTTCATTTTAGAGGCAACCCTGTCGTTCTATAAAAAAAAGTTCCCCAGTGTTCCATGTGTCAATGCAATTGCCTTTTTTTGGAAAAAGAAATAAAAGGAGGAGCAAGCAGCCATCTAGATCTTGGGAAGTTTCCAGGATGTGGGCATTGTCTGACTGTTTTTGAATTCTAAATTACAAAGTCAACACAGAAAACTGCAAATACAGGGAGATCAAAATTAATCTTTAAATTGTTACAGTGAAATTGCATTGCTTTCTAACCTGTGTTTGTTTAAATAGAATGAAAGCTTCTCAAGCTTTCCAAGTGTTAACAATAAACATTTTATTTCATTGAACATACAGGTATTTAAAAGCTGAATCTATAAGAAGAGAAATGAACTTTTTGAACGACAGAACAAATTGTCACTATACTCACTGCTCATTCTTCTCCTTCTTTCATAGTCTGAATCATCTATATTCCTATAGAGTATATAAAAACAGATGCAAGACATTCAGTTTGAAACTATTGTTTTATATAGATTATCTAGGCTGATTTTGAGACAATGATTCTTAAGAATAGACACACCTTCAACCATGAATAGATATTGTGCATTTTATAACATGATATTTGGAGATGTGTAAAATGAAAAATGTAGTTTGTTCCATGCATGGAATGAAGATATGTTTGGCTAGACCATTCTAACTGAGTTGTGATGCAGCCATATTGAACCCCAGATCATTTAGATTAATCCAGATTTTCACCAAACCAAGATGGAACAAGCTTGTTTCATGTTTTTTTCTTGCGTCCTCCTGCTTCCTTAGACATAATAAACAAAGCCACTCTACTTATCCCCAATCCCACTCTTCTTTTTTGTCTCCATCACCTATCCTGGAATTCTTATTAAAGCACATGTACAGCCTGAAGATCTGTTGACTTCCATTCCTAGAATTAGCCAGCCACATATCTTATAATTGACAAGGTTGAGAAATTTAGCTGTAGAGTTATGCATAGATTAAACTCATAAACTCAAGATCTGTATTATAATCCATGCACAGATGGCTCAATATTGACTAATCTGGGTATGCAATGCTTTGTGCATAGAATGGTTAGCATATTCCCTATTTATCCTGTTCTACTTATTTAAAATTACTTTAATTGTTGCTACCTAACCATTGAGTAATTGAACTCGGACTCTCATAAATAACTGAAGGAGTTGAATGGAAAACATAAAGTGAAATTAATTTTCCTGTTCTTTAACATGTAATTATAATTACAGTAAATTAAACCCACTATATTTACCTTTTTAATCTCAAGAAGTACATAGCAATCCAGGTTGAAAAGTTCTTGTGTTTGGCTACATCTTGCAAAGCCCAGAATTCCTGTATGAAAATAATTGAACACTTACAGTATAAAACAAAGGAATTCTTAACACTTGTCAATGAAGTTTAATATTCCAAAATAGACTTGTATAGGACTGCAGTCAAATATTCACTTCCAGTAATAGTTGCTAAATCAGTATTAAAGAGGAAATAGATTTGGGACACAATGCAGGATTAAGGTAATCTATGTCTCTGGAAAGAACTACTGTATGTCCATCACACGCCACTGGCCAAATATCTCTCTGCACATGAAAGACAGCAACATTTGAATATCCTGGATCAGGCTTAGGATTTTTCTTGAAATTAAAACCCATTTAGTTGGCTTGGAGGGCAATGAGTTTGTTCAATACTGACAATGCCAGGCTGCATCCGGATTGTGATAAGCTGGTAGAGAAAACAGCCTTTGTAGAGAAATCAGTACAGCAATTTGGCCTTTCAATAACAAGTAGATGCCAAATTATTGTTAATAGTAGGAATCTGTATGGTAGTGTCTATTTTGCAATCAGGCAAATGTATAGACAGCCAGGCATTTGGAATAAGAGCAGACAAGAGATTCAGTATATCCTGGAACATTCTAAGTGCCTTAGGATTCTTGCATTACTGGGAGGCATTTGCCTTCCTCTCAATGTTTAGTTTGCATTTGGAAAGAAAACTTATCAGAGTCACAAATCTTTTGCTACCATGGAAACCTAGATAGATAGACATTGGAATAGACAGCTGTTCCAATTCTGCTCTTCTTTTTTCTAAAAAACAAATATTAGGTACATTATTTAAAAAAACTTGGTATCCAGCCAGATTGTGACATAATGTGCAATTTTATGAAAAAGCCAGGTAACAGTAAGTTTTTGTCACATGTCTCAGCCCAACTCACCTCACAGGATTGCTGTTGTAAAGAAAATAGGAAGTAAGAGTAGTATTAGCCACATTCACAACCTTCAGTCATAGAAATAATAAAGGTGGTATATGTGTGTATGTATATGTGTTTATGGATATCATCATCATTTTAGCCATTTAGCCAGAGTTGTACCTAAAAATCAAGCTAGAGCGGGTATGGGGGGAGTGGAGCTGCCCCACATGCCCGCACCCCTTTAATGTTGCAGCCTAGCCTCCCATGAATTGACACCTGCCTCACCTCGCTGGCCCACTTCTTCTGCAACGCCCCCCCACCGGCCTGCATTTCACTTTCAGAGGCTTTTCTGTAAGGCCCTTGCAGGCAAGAACTGCATCAATCTGGAGCTCCATTCTCAGCTGCAGAGACATTTCCTTTGGCAGCAGAAGAAGTGGGCTGGCTGGGTGGGGCTGGGAGTGCTGCTGCCGTGGCGAGGTGAGACCGTGGAAAAGACACTCCCCCAAAATAAGACCTGGTGCCTCTTGGAGACAAAAACAAATAAGACCTGGTCTTATTTTTGGGGGAACACTGTGTGTGTGTGTGTGTGTACCGTGTTTCCTCAAAAATAAGACCTGGTCTTATATTATTTTTCCTCCAAAAAAGGCACTAGGTCTTATTTTCAGGGGATGTCTTACCCACTTACCTCAGGACCGCTGCAACCAGGCCTCCCACACCCCAACACGGTTGTGCTGCCACCCAACTTTTTCTGTGGCCACTCACAGCAGGAAGACACATGGTGCGTCGCCTCAGTGCTGCTCGTGTCATTGCACCAGCGCAATGCACCACACAGTGTCCTATGAGTGGAGGAACTGGTGCAGCACACCACCTGGCCTCCTGCCACAAGCAACCAGAAGTGGACGGGGGTGGTGCTGCTGGTGCCGCTGCTCTGAGGCGAGGCAAGTGTCGGGGCTTGGGAAGTCTGGCTATGGGGGCCCTGAGGCAAGTGGGTGCAGTTCCTTCCTCCCACCCTGCCCTAGCTTGATTTTTATATGTGTGCCTCACCTCATACACGTTAACTAAGGCTTATTTTGGGGAGTAGGTCTTATATTAGGCAAACAGGTAAAAATCAAACTAGGTCTTATTTTCAGGATAGCTCTTATTTTCTGGGAAACGTGTGTGTGTGGGGGTGTGTGTGTGTATATATATATATATACATATATTATCCTCTACCAATTCCGCTTTCACAATCCATCCTTTTAAAACAAAGAAGAAAACTCATTTTCTCTTAATAATGTATCAATACCTTAGGAATGTTGCGATCTTTGAGTTGGTTTTCTGAAATCTCACCGAGTTGCCAAAAAGTCATTGTGAAATCTGCTCTTGTATCTTCCATGAGCTAAGAAATAGGATCACATTTTTGTGTCAGCCTTTACTGATAACTCAAGGTATAGAACAAATATTTAATCAAAGAAAACAACTCACTTTTAGAAGGAAAGCAATCAAGTAGTCATCATCCTCATTTTCACCTAGCAGACCTAATTTTGTCTTGAATAACTCTAAAAAGCTGAAGATGAATGAAACAAATGTATTAGCATGGCAAAACTGGATATGACACAGAAATATGTGCAATTTTTGTTAAAAAATAGTTCCAATGATTACATACCCTTTATTATATTGTTGAGGGTATTCTTCAAGTATTTGAGAAGCCCTGTTCAGAAAAGGTGCAAATGTTTCAGCAAAAAAACTAATAATAACTTTTTCAGAGGTTATTGTTCAGATATTGAGACAGGTACTTTTCCTAAAGGCAACTGGACTTTTTTGGATTTTTTATTTAAAAACATTTTGATTCTCTTTCAAGATGCTTCTTCAATTCTGACTGAACGGTGGGGAATGGAAGGATTTATATTCTTTGCAGTCATCTGGTTGTTAGCAATCTGATCACTGCTAGTTTGTCCTCCATTATATGTAAATGCTTGTAGGTTTTCTGTATACTTCCATGTGAGGTTTCTGCCTTTCTTAACATCTACTGCACAATCCAGGAAAACCAGACAGTTTGCCTACCAGCAAAGAGAGAAAAGAAAGAGAAAACATATCAAGGAAGCCCCCACAATGTGGGGCTACCCCATCTGGGCCTTCATCAAATCCAAAAAAGCTTCCAGCAGGAACTTCTTCATAACAGACACAGAAAACAACAAATGGAACAACGTTGTCATTCCATATGTTGCAGGAATATCTGAAAAGCTCAGAAGGATTTTTAACCAACACAACATACGTGCATACTTTAAATCAAAGAATACGTTAAGGCAGAAACTTGTCCACCTCAAGGATAAAGCACTCAGACACACTTGTCGTACGTGCAGTACATAGTAAGACATATGCAGATCTGAACATTGGGGAAACAAAACAACCACTTCACAAACACCTGAGAAAACACAGGGAAACAAATCAATCAGGACAAGATTCAGCAACTGCATTCGAAAGACAAAGTCACTCTTTTGAAGAGAGCAAAGTTCACATTCTGCACAAAGAGGCCATCTATATTAAAACTGAACAATCCCTGCTCAATAGAGGGGGAGGAATAAGACATCACCTATCTCTTATTTACAACACAATCCCTTCAGCAGTCCCAAGAAGGTCCCACATTCATTTGCATTCTCATTGAGGTGACTCTGAGGATAACAATAAACCTCCAAGTGGCCTTAATGACTCTACCGAGAACTAATGACTGACCCTCAGAGTGCTAATGATTAGATGACTACACAGAATATAAATTCCTCATTCCCCACCATTCAGTCAAAACTGAAGAAATTTCTGGGATGAGAAATGAAATGTTTTCAAGAAAAAAAAACCCCAAGAAAGTCCAGTTGCCTTTGGAAAAGCATCTTTGGAACAACCATGATCTGGATGATTGAGCATATCCATAGATATTTAGGCATTAGACATGTTACCCTGGATGATCTAGTAAGATGGATAATCTGCATTTGCAACCTGCTAATATTTGGCAGCAAATGGCTGATCTTTCTTTAGTCCGATCTGCATTTTTCCCTCAGTAAACATAAAAATAGATGAGTTAAGTTCTGATAGGATTAACACATCTATTTCATGGATGGGGAAAAGTCAAGGAGACAGACAATTCCAACCATAGCCTTTCCACTGATTCTGTGTTGGATGGCTAATTCCCTGGTTTATGTAATTTCTAATTAGTTCAGCAGAAATTCCAAGAGTAGAGAATATTTGTCACTCATGATTCTTGCTATTCTTTAAGGTTTTACCAATACACAGAGAGAGATAAACCCAGCCACATGCCATTTAAAAGATACAACCAAAAGTCAAGAAAGGAAATAATCCATTACATATCATATCCACCAGCCAACACTAGACAAGCAGAAAGAAGCACCCCATAAACAATTAGGAGAAAAAAAAGAAGCTTAAAGAACATTAAGAACTTAACAGCAGGAATTATTGGAATTCCCATGAGAGCAGAAGATAAATACTCAAAGAAGAGTACTTATTGGGTATGTCTAGTTTAATGAAGAGAAGGGTGAGGGGGGACATAATAGCAGTGTTCCAATATCTCAGGGACTGCCACAAAGAAGAGGGAGTCAAGTTATTTTCCAAAGTGCCTGAAGGCAGGACAAGAAGCAGTGGATGGAAACGAATCAAGGAGAGAAGCAACCTAGAATTAAGGAGAAACTTCCTGACAGTGAGAACAATTAACCAGTGGAACAACCTGCCTCCAGAAGTGGTGAATGCTCCAACACTGGAAGTTTTAAAGAAGAGACTGGACAGCCATTTGTCTGAAATGGTATAGGGTTTCCTGCCTGAGCAGGGGGTTGGACTAGATGACCTCCAAGGTACCTTCCATCATCATCATCATCATTATTATTATTATTAACAACTATAATATACAACCAGCTTAAAATTGTATGAATCAACCAAAAGTGGTTTTCCAGGATTTCAATCTGAAATCTTTTTGTCCATCTGAAGATTTGGGGTTGAGTCTAATATTTTCTGTATGTCATATAAAGATGTTTTTGCCATGTTTATTTAAAAAATAAAATAAGTAGGTTACAAAGCCCAAAATGCATTTGCTTAGTAATTAGGGTTTTTATCACTTTTGAGGATCAGTATCCATCAACTCTCCCAGTAAATAGTTGTCTCCATTTATTAAATTTTAATATACATTGTGATTAAGAAAACCATAGCTAGAATCTTACAATATCACCGAATCAGGGTTTTTATGTATAGACTACAGTACTGAAATCTCCTAAGATTCTGAGATCTTCAGGAGGATAAGAAACCCAGACACAATGGCGCTCATAGCATGAAATTCTGTCATTCTACACCTAAAACCAAGGGCCTTTTTGGAAATAATATTCCTACTTAATATACCATAGATTTCTGAGCTGTAATAAGCTTTCAGCTTCTTATTTCTTCTTCTTATGTACCAGTTTTAATTCTGCAATGTGTGCTTTAAGTTCATGGGTATTGTACATTCCAAGAAACAGTGATCTAGAAAATCTCCCATTGCTGAATGTGGTACATGACATTACAAAATGAAGGAAATAATTAGACGACAGCATGTGAGTCAAAGGTTCTTTCCCAGCTTAATAAACTATAGTTTATGAAATTAGGAATGCATCCAAGCTGAATTACTACCTAAATTTTTGCCTTATTTTAAGATACTATATCTTCTTCCATATTTTTATGAGACAAATATCTAGAATATTTAGCAAACATTTGATATTGGTGTAATCATGGTCCATCTTTGTCATCCTCATTATCTTTTTTGTGAATTCAATTGTATATTCCAAGCTGAATTGATGTTACTTAATATTGGTATAATCATGGTCCAGCTCTCTTATCCTCACTGCCTTTTTTGTGGATTCAATTATACATTCCAAGCTGAACTGATGTTATTTCAATGATTTCTTCCAGAGATGAGTTTGGGAAAAATTTATAATAATAATGAAAGGGACTGATGCTTCAAATAATCTCTTTCCCATTTGTCTCTAAAACAGTGGTTCTCAATCTTTCTAATGCCACAACCCCATAATACAGTTCCCCATGTTGTGGTGACCCCCAACCACTTATATATCACCGGGTGCCAGGGGCGTGGCCAAAGAAAAGGGAAAAAAATGGCGGACAGCCTTGTTTGGCGATCCCCGTGAAATGGTCGTTCGACCCCAAATGGGGTCCCGACCCACAGGTTGAGAACCTCTGCTCTAAAACTATGGATGATATTCAGAAAGAAAACATCTTTCTAGGCATGTCTTTAATGTTTGACAATCTAAAGCAAAGAAACAAAAATAAAAAATAAAAAAACATCACATTTTTTCCTTTTTCAGTTTTCTAGCATCAACAGTACTAAAATTTTAGTTTATAAAATAGTCATTACTATAAATCTACTGGACACTTTTATTGTTTTGCAAGCACTTCTATTGCAAACATAATTTCAATTTTCAAAATATTTTCTTGCAGGAAAATGTCTTCTTTTCTGAATGAATGGTCATCTCATCAGTTCTTTTAAATAGGAAGACATTTTAAAAGATTACTTACAATTGCTTTTGTCTTGGATTAAATAAAGGGTTTAAAGCCTTTAGCAGTTTGTTCAGATTAAATATTCCAACATTTGCCTGATTTCCTATGTTATATCGTCCTTCATCATCAGATGTGTTTGGGACGAAGTCTGAAACAAAACATTATTTTTACTACAGTAAAGTCTGTGGAGGGAGCTGAAGATTCGAGCTGCCAAACAGCAGCCTCAGAACTTTAATGATTTGGAGAGGATCTGCAAAGAGGAGTGGAACAAAATCCCTCCTGAGATGTGTGCAAACCTGGTGGCCAGCTACAAGAAACATCTGACTTCTATGACTGCCAACAAGGGTTTTGCCACCAACTACTAAGTCATGTTTTGCGAAGGGGTCAAATACTGTATTTTCCGGCGTATAAGACAACTGGGTGTATAAAACGACCCCCGACTTTTGAGAAGATTTTCATAGTTTAGAAAGTTGTCTTATACGCCGAAAAATACAGTACTTATTTCACTTATTAAAAAGCAAATCAATGTATAACTTTTTTGAAATGCATTTTTCCAGATTTTTTTGTTGTTATTCTGTCTCTCACTGTTAAAATAAACCTACTATTAAAATTATAGACTGATCATTTCTTTGTCCATGGGGACATGTACAAAATCAGCAGGGGATCAAATACTTTTTTCCCTCACTGTAATTGAGTTTTGTATCATTTTATGACTTTTTTTACCACAATTATTAAGTTCTTAAGCAAATCACTACAGTTGTTAAATGAATCATGCAGTTGTTCAGCAAATCTGGCCTTCCCCATTGACTTTGCTTGTCAGGAGACAGGAAGGTTACAGATGGTGATTAAATGACTTTAGGAGAGTTTAACTGTCATAAATACATGACAGTTCCCAAGTGCCTAAATTTTGATCACTGATCACATGACCATGATGCTCCAAAAGTCCTAAATGTAAAATTGGCTATAAATAACTTTTTCAGTAACACTGAATGGTCATTAAATGAACGACTGTAAGCTGAGGACTAGTATTGACCTTTTTTTTTTTAACACAAATAGCCTGTTCTACTAAATAAAATTTCATTTTGTATTAAGATACATACATATTATATTGGGGCTTTTTCCCCAGTCTGCTTTGTCATAAATTTACCAATAGCCAACTTATTTTTTATGACTGTACTTCACGGAAATTATAATAATGACTATGTGCACTCATATCAGGATTATGTGGGCTAAGTGCATTCCATAGACTTATCTTAGATGTACTATTTATGCTAATGAATATTTAATTTCACAGCATCAAGAGTAATAGCTTTCAGCTTTTAAAGGCTCTTAAACAGGCCTCTTTCGGGTGTAAAGAAGCAAAATCTAAAGAAACTTGACAATGAATATGCTATCTCTCATGGCCAAAGCCTTGCCCTTCTCATGCAAAAAAAGAGAAATACATCCCTTCCTAAACCCTACAACTTTAACCTCCATTTTTCTCTATACAAACCAGCATACTTTCCTATAGCTCCATTGATGCAATTAAGATTTTATCCATACCTAACATTTCAACTTGATTTTAAATATTTTAAGTACAACTCTCAAAGATCCGTTAGCTGGTCAATTCCAGTTCTAAGTTATTGCCTGACTGTTTGAAAAGGTGAATGAGTTGGGTTAGACTTTCACATATATACTGTTGTGGCTTGTTCCCCAATGGAAGAATGGTGAGAAATTATTAATTCTTAAGACAAATTCTTCTAGGAAGAAAAAAGAGGTAAGATGTGAAAGAAGAAATTTGTTTCATCCAGATAGGAACTGTGAATGGTTCCCAATTTGTGAGAGGAAATTCTTTCCCATAAAAACTTCAGCCAGCATTTCATCTATGACAGTCTTCCACCTAAAATTTATTCCAGATGCCAAAGTAAACAAACTATTAAATAGCAATTAAATTACAGATTGTCCTATTTTCTGTGAGGTTTTATGGAGGATTTTCATACCCTGAGATGGAAATGTTGGGGGTGGGAGACTATTAGTGATGGTGTGTTAAGAATTAGGCTTTAATTCCAGTGAAAGTAGCATGGGCTAGCCTTCCCTGCCACTTCAAGTGAGGAATCTGCTGAAATCAGTGTAAATGCAGAATCCAGATCTAGGTCAGACTCAATAGCTCCTACCAATCATCTCTGCAGTTGCACTGCATCCAATACAGTTCTAGGCATGTAGATTCCCACAAAGCATAAAACTGATAACAAATGTAGTTATACATAGCTAACATATCTAAAGTACATAAACTTTCCAAATCTAGGCAGGAGTGGGAAAAGCCATAACTCTATGGTACAGCAAATGTTGTGCATGCAGAACAACTATGGTTAAACTGAGAAAAATGCAGTCTAAAACTCTACCTTTAGCAGTGAAAGTTGCAAAACATGAGCTGGATAGGATCGGCTCATTTGATTTAACACAGCTTTAACACAGCAGGGGTGGACTAGAAGATCTCAAAGTTCCCTTCCAGCTCTATTCTGATTAATTATTAATCTCTGAGTCCCATCCATTTCAATCTTTTAATCCTTTTGGTCTTACATAAATTTAAGAAGTCAAAAATCAAAAAATGATGGCACAGTTTAGGATTTCATTGTCTGCCAAATAATTAATCCTGAATTCCCTTAGGTTATACTCACCTGGGTCGTATGCATCCATGAAGCCAAATGGACCATAATCTATGGTTATGGATAATAAGCTGAAATTATCAGTATTACATACTCCTAAAACATAAAGCAACATGGCACAGTTAGAAGTGCTAGCATGGAAAATTATTTAGGAGCAATTTGGAAACCAGATCCAGCCCCTCATTTCATAGCTAAGAAGTTTGTAATACCAGTGTCATTCCTTTCATGTTTGTTACAGATACTTTTCTCTTTATGCCCGTGATTTTTTCTATCTGATATAAGTATCACCTTTTCTCCAATTGTTTAAAGCAATCCCTGCTTTCTTAGTGGATATGGAGTTATAAACTTGTCAAAAACTGAGTTTCTTTTATTCTTTCAGAAGAAATACAGCTCCTCTTTCTTACTTTTCACTATGCAGTTTGGAAAGAAAAGGACAAGGTAGTTAGCTTGTGTGTATTTACAAGGTAGTCCTGTGTACTTACAATCAAGTAATAAGTCTGTGTTTTGAAAAGCCACAGTAGTCACAGAGGATTAGGAATAGTCCTAGAACCAAATCACAATGCTATCATTTCCTATCCATGGTATTCTTTGTGTTCCTATTTTTAAAAATGCATATCATGACAGTATATCATCAGGATCTATGATATCATGTTATAAGGAGGAGAGGTCCAAAACTAAATGCTGAACAAATGGTATTAATTTCAATAGCTTAGAAGGGATCTAGTACTATTTTACTACTAGAATAATTACTAGAACAGTTGTTTTTTCTAACTTTCCATGGCTTAATTTAGGGAATTTTCACATTAACAATTTTTACCCTTCCCAAGCAGATTGAATCTGACATTGTCTTCACTTCTGCCCATTTTAAAACATAATCACTCTGAGCCAATCAGTGCTCATTTTCTTTCTATCCATTGACAACAGGAAAATGTCTACAAATTTCAGGATCCACCTCAGCTATCACCAGATATGGAGTAACAAATGAAATAAACTACTAAATCTCTTGATGTATTTTTTTCATGTGTACTTCTGTTGTTGTGGGAATTTCTCTAATAGTTTCCCCTCCCCAAAAAAACTGAGGAGTTACTGTAATAAGAAGGCATAGGAGGGAAAGTAAATTGTAAAGAAATGTCAACAAAGGCACTGAAAACTTCCAAAGGCTTCCTGAGCATTGTTCCTCTTACATTTTAAAGCCCTACTGATGAAATTATAGCATTTCTCCAAATCAACTTTTTCCTCAACACATCTGACTATACCTGAATGTTGCTATCACACCTAAACGGAAAGGAAGGAAAAAAATTTTAACCAGAGCATACAGAATGAAATATATTCTGGTTATTGGGCTCTGAGGCCCTACAGGAGTAAGAAAGATTTAAAGCATTCAATCCAGGTGAATTGAGTACATTAAGCTAAACTGTGAATGGTTTGATTTTGGCTTTGTACAGTGTGAGCCCAGCTATGGTTCACAGTGTACCATACATTGTGGCTAAGACAAACCACATTTTGTTTTGATGTATGAACCTGGCCCTGAATCACTGTCAATATTTCTATTCCACATGCTTACCCCCATTCTTTAGTAATGAACTCTGTCAGGATATAAGCTTTAGTGCAATGCCTCACCTATCTGTGAGTCCCATATATCTTTAACAAAAGGAAAAAGGTATGCTGTTCAGATAACAAAATACAACTCTCCCCCTTTTAATCTCACCATGAGCGAAGCCGACTGACATCCACAAGGCAATTAAATGTGCCGTCTCGGATACTACTTGAGAGAAAAATGCCTAAAATCAAAATTTTACATTCAGCATTACTACAACAGTAGTAACATTCCAGAATATTTACTATAAATATGTACAGCAATTGCTGGAAAGGGAACCAAAAGTGAGGGAAATAATGCAGAAAAAAATAGTTTTAAAAAAGGATTTTCCATTTCAACATTGTGGGAAGGAAGAACATGAGAAGGAGATTAAAAAAGAAAAGATTTTACATCATTTACGCATTTCTCAAAGGCCATCTAATTTGCCCATACTATAAACCTTCTGGACTGAAACATTGTCACTTTTATATTCATTATTACTAAATATAAAATAAGATATAAGACTAACAATATTATACATTACTGAGTTTTTAACTGGAAGATGAAGGGGTGAAAAGCACAGATTGAATGTCCACAAATGTATTGATTTACAATGTTTATATTGAAATGTAATTATATTTACAAATTAGATTACAACAGATTTCAAATACACATAATCACAATTTTTTACAAAAGTTTCTTCTTTGATCTGACATAAATGTATAAGGAAATAACAAAGGGCTACTTACCAGATATTTATTTGAATCATTTATATTTATTTTTGGAAAGTGTTCTTTTATGACCATATCTAGCAGCATCCTGTCCCACAAAGTAAAAGTTTCTTTTATCAAAGGAGAATTTGAAAAATAAGTAAACATTTAAACTGAACCCTATTTATTACTAAGAAGGCTAAACTGAGCTGAAGAAAAGTTATGTACTGTATTTTTTAGGAAGATCTGCTTACATGTAAAAGAAAGACAGTACTGATTTTAATTATAGTTTACTGAACAATGCTAATAACAAATCAAAGTAAGAAAATAGAAATTACACTATTTACCCAAAGGGGAAAGAAATCCCTCTTAATCTTATTATGCAAACACAACTCTAAGTAGCTCATCAGAAAAGCTGGAATCAGATGTTAGATATGTAATTTTATTTATTTATATTTTCATATTTCTTAATCACCCATCTCTCTCAGATGTTCTATAATTTAAGAAAATTTAGTAAATGTCAAAGGAAGAGGTTATTGATTTTCTTTTCAACTTTGGCAGTTGTTATTTTGGATAGATCTCCTCCAGAACCTAGAAATTCTGTGCATTCCTAAGGAAAATATGTCCAGTTACAATAACAATAGCAATGCACTGGTAGTCTTTCTATTATGATAAATATCTGTTCAGAGATATCTTAATGCAGAGTAGGCAACATTACCTCCCAACAAAAATTAAAAACAAAGAAATATCACTGGCAAAAAGTCCTACAAGATTGTTAAGGTTTGTAGGAGCTTTTAATAGTGAGATACTTGGCTAGGGTGACTTGAAAATTAACAGCAATTTTCTTATTTTTATTATTTATGCATTATTGTCTGCAGGGGCAGGTTGCCATACTTCATTTTACTGATTTTGTCACCATTCCCCCAATAGACATTATCATACTGTTTATTAAGCTAATGCATTAATGGGGAGCTGCAAATCTGTTCAAATGAAAGCCTAACTATATGGAAGAAGCAAGTCATTCTTTCATTTTTAAAACTTTGCCAGGATCTATTAGTCAGGATCTAAAGAAGCCTCGCACAAAAATCATCTTACTGAATGCCAATCTAGAATCTTTCTTGTATTTACCAGATAACACAGTTTGCATTTGTTTGTACTGGACCAGCTATTCTATTATTTGGTTACAGAAATCAAAATCTTGAATGAAGTGTTTAAGTCTAACCTTAATAAATCCAGTTCTCCAGAATGAGCTAGTATTTCCAATGATCCTATTCGAAACCATGATTTTGCAATACGTAAGACAACTGCACCTGCAAATAAATGTATGTACAAGCTAATGTATTTCAGAAATGTCCTACTCAAACTTCCTTATGCATCCATAACTTCTTAGCATGAAGTTGCTCTATGGTGGGAGAAGAACTTTACTCACAGTAGAATATAAAATAAAAAGTGTTCCTTACTGGATAGAAAGAGAGTTCTTGCATTAAGAAATGTTTTGTTTTTTTAATAATTGCATCAGGCCAGTAAGAGTTAGAATGGAGAAGTCTGATGTCCATTCTGGAAGAATTAAAGGGAAGGATCAATTATCTTATTGAAAGGAGTTCAGTCATATCTGTGACTTGCTAAGGACTATTAGTCATAATCCTAGGAGGCAATAAACTGTTGGAGCTATTTGAAAAGTTTTAGGTAATACATGTGAAAATAATGTTTTTTTAAAAAAGGAAACATGAAGGTACATGCAATATTAAATGAATGAATCGAGATGCTTCAAGAGACCATAATACAATACAAAATGTAACAGTACAAAACTACATCTGACCACAGGTTATGATGAGTCAAATTATGTTCATTTCAGCATGTAAAGGAAAGGGGAGAAAAGGAATGCCCTGAAAGGGAAGCGTTTTGCACCTGAAATGAGGCACTGCTTTTCCAGTTGCAAGCCAGCTTCTGAACAGCAGACTATCTGCAGCCCATAATCTAGTCAAAAGCATAACCAATGCACAGGTTCATGGCAACAGATTAGAAAGCAGATTGGGAGCAAGTGATCTGAGAAAAGTTAACTGTAACATTGTCAAAGAGCAATAAAAATACCTCTTTCTTTCTTAATATTCCCATTATAGAACTGATCTCTCCAAACGTTGTCATCACTTACAACTAAACTGTGGAAACAGAGGAATTAGGAAATTAGTACAAGGCAGACTGCAAAAAGTTCAGAATCTTGTTGGACAAAGTGAATTCATAGTATATTTTAAAGGAAAAAAGAAAGATAAATTAAACCAAATATAATAAGCCTAATCTCACAAATAATGGGTCTAAAAGTCTGAGGAGGACCCATTCAATTGTCAGGCAAGTAGGATGTAACCCATAATGATCTTAAACCCTTGGCAAGGCTATTTGTCTACAGTTCAAGTAAACTTTATACAACCTTGCTACACATATTATAGAGTAGCCTAGCTAGCCTTGGTTGATTCCCAATGTCAGTAGAGTAAGATCTAGTTAATTCTTAGGTGGCAAAACCACCAGGAAATTCCTTGACTCTAAAATAGACTAGGAAATTCAAATATATATTGGGGAAGCCTGATGAATTTGTCAGATTTATGTTATGACAAATATGGATTAAGACTTCTCTGCTATTTTGCAGTTTCCTGCTGCACTAAGGAGCCCATAGTTCTTGCTTGGTTGTTAAAAGAACTGAAACATACAATTCTCTAAAAAGACTTCTAATTGTGGGATTTTTTTTACTTCATTTTTAATATTCTTAAGAGTATTTTTTTTAACCTTAAACAACCAAGAGACCTCCATAATTGGCAAGGCATACAGTTTAACAAGAAATGAACTTAACTCTTAAAACCCCAATGTTTCTTGCTCAGATTGAGAAACTGAAGCAGGGTGAGATAGCATTTGTTGGAGACTATATATTACAGGGGGAATGATGTGGAGAGAATTTTTGGGAATGGGTGAATTTTATTTGATAAAAACAGCAAGTGGGGGTGTTTGCATATGATCATCCCATTGATATTCTGAGCAGGAAAAATGTTATATAAACTCTTCACCTCTCTTCTGCTCCAAATAAACTGCCCCAAATTCCTGAAATACAGGTTGCCATTCAAACAAGAATGCTTGCAATTCTAATTTTATGTAGTTTAGGTGATAGTAATAATAGAAAGAATACCATTTTGCTGCAAATCAATTAGGTTCTCTCTGGGAGAGAATATCAGTTCATTTAGTTTAGTATATGGGCAGAAGGACAGATAAATTGGATCCATACAGAGAACTTCACGCTGTCTTGCAAAGCCATTCATGTGCACTACAAGATCCTACTCCTATTATTCAACAATAAGATGGAAAACGGAGAGAAAACTTGAGTCACTTCCCATCCATGTATTGTGCAGCAGAAAAAAGCCACATGCTATATAATTCTTCAAGCATCTGTATAGAGAAACTATCCCAACTTGCAGTGCTGTTGAGACTCAAGAATCTCCAGAATGAGTTCCCATTATCAATGGAATACTGAATAGGTATAACATACAGGAAATATAAATGCTTTGTAAATATATAATATATAAATTGAGTTTACCTAAATATTTATGAAATATGTGGAACTGGCAGAAGTATGAATGAGAGAATAATGATAATATTAAGTAGATATACAAAACAAATTAATAATGATTTTAAATAAACATTTCTCAGATTGTCTAGATAGTTTTTGTATCTAAAGGATGCTAGGTATTAGGCTTTTCTAGTTTAAGGTCAAAGGGCTATCTTTGGGTATAAAATGTTGGAATTCAAAATCAGAAGTTTATCAAGTCCCAAAGTATTCCTAGGAGGCTGCTGTAGGTGTCCCTCTTGGTGATGAAGCAATGATTAATCTGCTGTCTTCCTGGTTCACTGAAAGTCTCACTCTGGCATTATGAGATGACTCCCAGCTTCATGATATCTAAATGAAACGCAGAATGCTTTAAAGTAAAGCATTCATCTCCAATAATCTGCTGTGAACAAATCTCATGGGCTGGAAAAGGGAACTGGCATTCCGTTGAGGTTATGGTAAGAAATTATGATGTAGAACTGTGAACCAGCTCAAGATTTCCAGTCTGAGGGCAATTTTTTTGTGTCACTCTGACAAGCACAAATCCATCATTCTGCCAATTCATAGAAAATAAAATCAGGAATAGGATCAATCTCAGGATGAACATGTTCACATGGACTTTTCTCTTAGTTTCTTCTGCCAAGAACCATGAATCATGTTAATGAACTTTTACATGCTGGTTAGGGAATTCTGGGAATCAAAGCCCATGCATCTTAAAAGTTGCTGGAGTTGAGAATTGTGATTTAGAAAAATACGAGCACAAAGATTATTTGCAGGGTAAAAAAATTGGTTAGGGAGAAGGATGTTTAATCTTTTCTGCCCTTCTTTATACCCATCGTATACTTCAGGGACCAGTTCCATGGAGGTTTTTCCACAGACCGGAGGGTGCCATGTTTTTGTGTGCTGCCTGCGTCTCACAGATGAGGCTGTGGCCTAGTACTGGTCCATGGACTGGGAGAGAACCACAACAGGTAGTATTCCTGCATGGAGGGCTCATCACCCAAACAAGTGAAATTAAATTTTTCTCTCTTTGTTATGCATGGAACCTTTGAAGAATTTATTTGCTTGTTTAGTTATTGTTAAGCAGGACTCTTTTGTGTGTTCCAAAAATGGAGGAAATGGCACTGCCAATTTCCATACTTTAGAAACTTGGCAGTTCAAACACAAAGAACTTCAGGGAGTCTAAGAAGAGGATGGCACACATCTGCTCAATGCAGATAAAGAATAAATCTGTATAAAGTACCTAGCTACCCTGCTTGTAGGTATTCCAAGGTAATGCATGGCCTCACTTCCCAAAAATTCTCGTATAGAAGACCGAAGCACAGTTCTGCCATCTCCTCTCCTATAGAAAGAAAAACAAGAAATATAGATATTATTGTTGTTGTTGTTATTAATCTTCAATTCAATTCACCATCTGGCACTTGTAAAAACTTAACACTTCAAGTCCTAGCCAAGGTCCTAAGAGCTGTTAAGGTATTATTATTATTATTATCATCATCATCATCATCATCACTATTATTATTCCAGTCAGCCAGATGTTCAGACTGGGTTTGGCATTTTTGTCTATCTATCGAGTCCTTACCAAGGACGATGACAACGACGACGATGACGATGATGATGATTATTATTATTATTATTAAATACTTGGCAAATCCTTGTACTGGATGATTTGATTGGCACATTTTGCTATTGCTGACAGCTGAAACAAATTAAATATGTATTAAGATTCATATTTAAATACGGATTTATTTGTAGAGAACCAAGGGTGGCAGCTTTTCTATTGAGAAGGAGACCCAATTCTTCTTAAAGATATGGATCAACACAGAAACAGAATAGAAATAAAGGTAATGTTGGAATCTGTATTGGGCTGAATCTAACACTGATTCAGCTTCTTTGACAGTCTTTCAGATGGAGTTTTCTGACTTATCTCTGGAGATTCCAAGCATTGGACCTGTGGTCTTTCCTATGCAAAGCATGTGTTCAATCAGTGAATGATGGCCATATATAATATGCCAAACCTAGAAACCTACTTTTTTTGATACAAGGCTAGGAAGCGCCATGCATGAGTGGCCATTCTTCACTAGAAGGCAGAACTAAGGAATCATACTGCTGAAAATCCAAGCCATCCTCAAGAGAGCATTCCATATAATTTAATTTATATCACAAACTGTGTATAGAAACATGTAACAATATAGCTATGTAGATACTACATATTCCCAGTGATACTCTATGGAGGCAAAAAATGGACTCTAAAGAAGCAAAATACAAAGAGTATTAGTACTTTTGAACTCTGGAATCGGAGAAGATTCCTAAGAATACTGTGGACAGTCAAGAAAACAAACAAATGCATCACCAAACAAATCAACCTAGAGTTCTTGTTCAAGTCACAAATGATGAGGTTCAAATTACCCTATTTCAGACATGTTATGTGAAGACCTAACTCTGTAACAAAGAGTAGAGGTAGACCTCAACTTACAACCACAATTGAGCCCAAAATTTATGTTGTTAAGTGAGAAATTTGTTGAATTTTGCCCCATTTTACAATTTTTCTTGCCACATTTGTTAAATGAATTACTGCAGTTGTTAAGTGAGTAACATGGTTGTTAAATAAATCCGGCTTCCCCATTGACTTTGCTTGTCAGAAGGTTGCAAAAGGGATCACATGACCCTAGAACACTACAATTACCATGAATATGAACCAGTTATCAAGCAGCTGTAAATCACATGACCACAGGGGTGTTAAAATGATCATAAATGTCAAAAATGGTCATAAGTCACATTTTTCAGTACCATTGTAACTTCAAACAGTCACTGAACTGTTCTAAGTAGAGGACTATCTGTATAATATTGGAAAAGGTGGTAGGAAAGAGAAGACAGCCAGGAGCAAAGTGGTTGGACTCATAGTGATAATGGGCCATTATTGGAAGAGCTGAAGGACCAGATAAGAGACAGATCATTATGGACAAAATCTATGTGGTTGCTTAGAATCATCAATGACTTCATACCACTTAATCAATCAATCAAAATACTACCAGTTTTTTGGAATTAGGTTTATCCCATTCAGTCAGGGATCAATGCTGGCATTTATAAATTAAAATTTCTCATGGTTATTTTTTTCTTATTCTTTTTAAAAAGCCATTATGTGGTTATAAAAATCTAGTATAAAATTCTACAGTCTCTTATGATTCAAACTCTGAAGAAAGCAAAGATTCATCTGCAAACAGATTGGTTTTCAAGGTGGTCCTTAATGGTGAGTTATTGAAATAAAAAGTTTTTGATGTAAAGAATAGTTCTAAAAACTGGGTTTGTTTAGTCTAAAGAAAAAAGGTGGAGGGAAGACATGATAGAAGATTTCAAAATCTCAGAGAAAAAAAGATGCATATTTATTCTCTGTAATGCCTGAGGGCAGAACAAGAACTAAAAGGTAGAAGCTTTGCCAAGGGAGATTCAACCTTAAAATAAGGAGATATTTCTTGTACATGAAAAATATAAGCAGAACAGGTTGCTTCCTTGAGTAATAAGTGCTCCATGAGGAAGGCTGGACAGCCATTCTGCAGGATGGTCTGAGCAGGGGGTTAATGAACCATAGTCTCTTCTAATCCATGGATTCTAAGATGCATATCGAGAACTGAAATAATATTTTTTCAGATGTAATGTAACACACCTAGAGTATGGTGTCCTTCCTGAACCTTTGAGCTGCAGTTCCCATCTGGATCCAAATCTACCGAAAGAAGATTAGCTTTAGCAATGTGAACAAATGGTGCAACACAGAATGGAACAACTTATGCCAAAATATGATTAATACAAATCTTGTACCAGGAACCATCAACCCAGTCTGCAACATAGGGGAAATAACATGTATGTACTTTGTACTACAAGGATTATCAAAATAATATATATGGAAGACTTAAGGAGTTTTGAAAACCATTATATACTAAGTCTGGTTAATATTGTCATTGTTGGTCATTGTTATTTTATCTTCTGAGATATCAACAATAACCACATACTAAATAGAGACAGGCTTTTTAAGATGAGATATGCAGTACCTGTTTGTATAAATGCCGATCAAGTGAGCTCTTCCATCACCCAGCTGTCCTGCCCAGCTACCAAACTAACATGAAAAGTTGAAATAAAAATATGAAACAATTATTCAAAAATGGAGCCATAATTGGGGTTCAACATGATTGAATAAACAATGTTCTGTGTATATTTTATTAGTAATTGCAGTAGGCACAGGAACAGTTTGGTACAATGCTAGCACAGTTCTATACTAATATAACTTTAAGTTATATTTGCATCAGTAGGATAGAGGAACTGGAAATCAGCAAGATAAATTCTCCTTAACCGATTTTAGGACTTGTGTGGAAAATAGATGACATTTCAGGTCATGTTTATGCAGAAATATTGAACATTCAAAGGATTCACAAACTTTTAAGTACCGCTATAGGTTGCCTTAGTTCTTTAACACATTGCAATTGAAAAAAACAAATCCATAAGAGATGGAAACTGCTGTTCATTAAAAATGTTGGGTGTTTTTCTTTGAAATTAACTGGGAACTAAAATTCTTATCACATGACTGTTCTAAGAATCACATTTGTGTTCCAAAGCTATCAACCTCATAATATGAGGCTAAAAATGTTCTGTATCTATAATTTGAATTGACTAGGTTATAGGTGAGAAGACAGTTAACAACAAATAAAACAGTTCCATGAGTAAAACTCTTACCTACTACAGAGGGCAATCTCAATGAACATGATTGTTCTCCTCTGCTTAGCAACTAACCTCTGTAGAAAGTGTTTTGAACTAGGCTAAACATACCTATTTTGCCACCAACTAAAAATATAAAGGCAGCCTTTGGAGCCATGAGGAGCTATTCTGTTTTTCAACTATGTACAAACACCAGCTGCCTGGCAAGCCACTAGGGATGAACAAGAGCATTATGTCTCAACATAAAATGCAATCCATTGAGCAGAGCTGAAAAGAAGTGAAATGATGAATGGCTACAAGTGTGCTTATGTATGGATGTGAGAAAGTATATTGTGTCTGTTGCAATGCCTGATGTTGAAAATGTTGTTCACCTATAAAATACAGGACAACAATCTTCAAGGAAAGTACAAAAAAGGGGACCATGACTGGCCAACACTATTCCCATCTCTATGCTTTAGCATTTCAATTATTTGGCTGATTTACAAGAGAATTACAGATAAATGAGCGACCATTGAATAGAACTGCCATTAAGAGCACAGAGAAAAAAAAACTAGTATTTTAACATATAAAGCCTTCCCTTTGTAGTTGGAAAAAACACATACATATAAGATCTGAGCCTTTTAGACTTAAACACTCCTTTGTGCAACTGGATTTTTCATTTTCTTACTAATAGGCCCGGTTAGATCCCATAGGCTGGGCCTCCTTCAGGTCCCGTCGGCCAAGCAGTGCCATTTGGCGGGGCCGCGGAGGGCTTTCTCTGTGATGGCGCCCACGTCTTGGAACCAGCTGCCCCCGGAGATTAGGACCGCTCCCACCCTGTTGGTTTTCCGTAAGTTGCTTAAGACCTGGCTTTTCCAGCAGGCCTGGGGTTTATAAAATCTGACCCCTGGATGACTGTTCTTGTACTGTTTGTTTTGTTATGTTTTATGTGTTTTTATTGTTAGCTGCCCAGAGTCCTCCGGAAGTGGGGCGGCTTATAAATTTTAAAAATAAATAAATAAATAAATAAATAAATAAATATTGCGAGCTGGAACAAATATTTCTAACACCATTTTCTTGAGCACAGGTTCTCCTCAGGGGTGCATCCTAAGTTCATTGCTGTTCACCTTGTTGATCCCTGACTGTTGTACTAGGTTTGCCACCAACCATATTGTGAAGTTTGCAGATGATACAATAGTAGTGGGCCTTGTTCGTGATGACATCGAGGGTGCTTACAAGAAGGAGGTTGAGGGGTTGGTGAACTGGTGTAAGGAAAACAGCCTAGTTTTAAATACTGGAAAAACCAAAGAGATCACTGGCGATTTCAGAAAAGGCAGACACAGTCACACTTCTCTGTGCATTAATGATTCACCTGTGGAGATGGTTACCAGCATCAAATTCCTGGTGTGCAATTAACAAGTAGGCTGGCTTAGTCACTCAATAGCAAGACATTGGTGAAGCAGGCATAGCAGCCCCTGCATTTTCTGTGTTGCAGTAGAAAAGCACATCTTCCTTCTCCTATCCTTATCACTTTCTACAGAGGGACGATCGAAAGCATCCTGTCACACAGCATCACAGTCTGATTTAGAAGAATCACTGCTTCAGACAGAAAGGCAGTGCAGAGAGTGGTGAGGATGGCTGAAAAGATCATTGGCAGTTCCCTCCCTTCCATCCAGGACATAGCACATAAGTGTTGCTTGAGCAGGGTCCACAAGATTGTCTGGGACACTACCCACCCTCTTTATGACCTGTTATCTTCTGGGAGGAGGCTCCATGGTATCCAAAACAGAACATCCAGATTCAGTCACAGTTTTATTCCATACAGTATTAACCTTGTGAACTCTCAAGCTTCCTCCTTCCTTTATATATTCAAGATGGACAATGATTAATATTTATATGTTACTTATATATGTAAGGGTGTAGGTCTATACATATGTTGTATATAATATGTTTAAATGTGTCTTATGTATGTGTACACTTTGAGAGCAAGCAAATAAATTTCATTTTTAATGTGTGCCATTGTGCCCACAGTAAAAAAATAACAATGAATATTATCTATCTTATCTATCTTATCATTAAACAAAAATGTTGATAACATCTGGTTAGCAAACAAGGAGTGCAACTGACCTGATGGCCACCATATCTGTGGGTTAGCGGTAGAGACCCCAAAATTATTTTTGAACCACTGACAAACTGTAGAAAACCATCTGAGCCTGAGACAGACATGTCTAAGTCCAGAATATCTTCCAGGACTTCCTAAAGTGGAAGAGTTATATCAATCCATGAAAATTATTAGGATGTAAAAGAAAACTTCACATTGTTAGCTGTGAACATAATTGATTTTAGAGATGAACTCCTACTTGTTCTTCATATAACATCCATACTATTTTCCAGATTATCAGAATGTATTGTTTTAAAGTAGGTACAGTTGTTGCTAAAGCTTATCTCAGGGCAGCCAGAATTAAAGCACTTGGAGTTCAAGAAGAGGTGCAGAATTATAGCCTTCCTACTCGTATTTACAGGGAATGTTAGTAGTTTTGAGTTATTATATTTTGTCAGGTTCCAGATCAGGCAGAACTATAAATATCTTGTTCTTTTAGATGCAGGAACAAGTAGAAAAGTTAGGGATTTGACACTGATAGATAAGCTGTTTTATTGTAGATAAGAAAGAAGTCATATACTAGATCACCAGATGTGATCTCAGAACCATTGAACTATATATTTCAAAGATCCTGGAAAACTGGCGAACTACCAGAAGATTGGAAAAGAGCTGATGTAGTTCCCATCTTCAAAAAAAAAAGGAAAAAAATAGATCCAGGAAACTACAGATCTATCAGCCTAACCTCAATACCTGGGAAGATTCTGGAAAACATAATCAAACAACGAATCAGCGAACACCTAGAGGCAATCAGAATCATTACCAAAAGCCAACATGGGTTTGTTAATAACAGATCATGCCAGACAAATCTTATTGCATTCTTTAACCAAATGACAAAATTAGTGGACCAGAAAAATGCTGTGGATATACTTTACTTGGACTTCAGTAAGGCATTTGATAAAGTAGACCACAACCTACTATTTGACAAGATAGAAAAATGTGGGTTAGACAGCATCACCACCAGATGGATTCATAGCTGACTGATTAGACGTACTCAGCGTGTGGTCCTCATTGGAACTGCATCTACATGGAGGGAAGTATGTAGTGGTTACCCCAGGGCTCTGTTCTGGGACCAGTGCTCTTCAACATCTTCATCAATGATTTGGATGAGGGGATAGATGGGAAACTCATCAAATTTGCAGAAAACACAAAGCTGTCATGAATAGCCAACGCTCCAGAGGATAGGCTTAAGATACAGAAGGATCTTGACAGATTTGAACATTGGATGCTATCTAACAAAATAAAATTCAATGGTGAAAAAAATAAGGTTCTACATTTAGGCAAGAAAAACCAAATGCACAGGTACAGTATGGGTGGCACCTTGCTAAATAGTAGTAACTGTGAGAGGAATCTTGGAGTCCTAGTGGACAATCACTTAAATATGACCCAACAGTGCACTGCAGCTGCCAAAAAAAAACCCAACACAGTGCTAGGCTGCATTAATAGAGGGATAGAATCAAGATCACATGCAGTGTTAATACCACTTTATAATGCTTTGGTAAGGCCACACTTGGAATATTGCATCTAGTTTTGGTCACCACAATGTAAAAAAGATGTTGAGACCCTAGAAAGAGTACAGAGCAACAAAGATGATTAGGGGACTGGAGACTAAAATATATAAAGAACGGTTGCTGGAATTGGATATGTCTAGTTTAATGAAGAGAAAGACAAGGGGGGACATGATAGCAGTGTTCCAATATCTCAGGGGCTGCCACAAAGAAGAGGGAGTCAAGCTATTCACCAAATCACCTGAAGGCAAGACAAGAAGCAGTGGATGGAAACTAATCAAAGAGAGAACCAACCTAGAACTAAGAAGAAAATTCCTGACAGTTAGAACAATTAATCAGTGGAACAATCTGCCTCCAGAAGCTGTGAATGTTCCAAACACTGGAAGTTTTTAAGAAGAGACTAGATAGCCATTTGTCTGAAATGGTATAGGGTTTCCTACCTGAGCAGGGGATTGGACTAGATGACCTCCAAGATCTCTTCCAATTTTATTATTATTATTATTATTGATCATCGCACAGTCAGCCAGATGTTTGGACTGGATTTGGCATTTTTGTCTACCTATCGAGTCCTTACCAAGGACCTGATATAGGCAGATGTGGATGTTTGATGGTATTACAGATATCGTCGCAGGATGAAAGCAGTTCCTAGTAAGATCTTTTGCAATTAACTAATGGCGAATTGCCAATTACTACTGCTACTACTACTACTACTATTACTACTACTACTAAATGCAGAAAATCAACCTGCTGCAGAACACAGAAATCAAGTCATATATCTGGGTCAATGCCAAGGTTTGATGTCTCTTCTGCCTGTCCTTTCAAGTTAATAAATTCTTAGTTATTCTTTTCCAGGCTTCAATTTGGAATGGATTTGTTAAATGTATACCAGCAGCTTTCTCTGATTAGAGCAGTACTAATTCCTATCTTGCCAGCTTCAGACACTATACATTTAGACACCAAAAGGTGATGCCATTATGCAATTCCATTTAGTCAGTGGAATTCAGTATAAAGTAGGTGTCCAATTTAGCGATATTGGACAATTCACTTTTAGTAATTATCAAATACTATACTAAAATCTAGATATGGTTTAGGAAATTGGAACATCTAACATTTTCAGCATAATATTGCCCAAATATACAATTGCATCAAATTGGTTGTTTTTCTGGCTATATTAAATTTGTTACCAAACTTTCATGTGTAATACTCCCTCATATATTTATATTATGGTTCTGAATCCTATTAATAATTAAAGATAAAACCCTATTATGGTATCAATGTTTGAAAAGACTGGGAATATTTTCTCAGTTCAAGGGTTTATTTGTTCACCCTAGTGTTTCCTTGTACAATTTAAGCTTTGGATCCAAGTTGCTAATTAATATTACATCTTTGCAATATCTTTAGTAATAATGGCAAAGCTGCTTCTAACACTAATGATAAACAATTTTTTAGTGCTGATTACTTATATTCAAAATGACAGAGCTGGTGAAATTCTAACCACAGTTGGCTCAAAAACCAGAAAAGGATAAGGAATAACACCTGTATGACAATAAAGCTAAGGGATCTCTAGAATAGGGTTTTCAAATTAGGATCTATAAATATTATAGGGTTCTGCAAGAATTTGATGGTTTTCCAGGAAAGATTAAAAGGAAAACAAATTCATTTTGTCAATTTTCTGTTGCTAGAGATTTGCTCTTGATCATGAATTCTGGATTTTTTTTTAACAAGTTCCATGGCACTAAAAGGTTGAACACCTCACTCTAGTCTAATGGAATTAGTACTAGGTTTAGATACTATTAATTAAAGCAGTATTTTTCAAACTTGGCAACTTTAAGATGTGCGGACTTCAACTACTATCTGAGGAGTTCTGGGAGTTGAAGTACACATATTTTAAAATTGCCAAGTTTGAAAAACACTATATTAAGTGTTAGAGCATTTAGATGTATAGCCCATATGGCAGTCTTGCAATATCTAAGGGCCATGCTTAATATACAGTATATTTGGAGCGTAAGCTTTACAATAGCAAGACAATAATATGAAGTTGTCAAGGCCATATCAAATAAACTGCATGATTTTCTGTTTTGTTTCTTTTTATTTGGTGGGGCAAAATGAAGCTTTTTTTTTCTTATTATATAAAAACCCAATATTTAAAAAACAGATTATATCTATTCAAGGGCTTACCCTTCACTTTTTATTTATTTTCTACCTCAGAATTGTGAGAAACTGTGCCAGCAGTTTTTAGCAACCTTGCTTGAGAAAATCCTCTGTGGACAAGAGTAATCATGATGTACCAATGGGCTAACTTGGTATAAAGCACTTGCTACTTTCCAGTGATTTCATATCCCTGAATATGGAATTATGCAATTCAATCTTTTTGTGTCTTGAATGATGGGGAGAATGTCCACTGATACTCAGGTGGTAGACTGACTGAAGTAGAAAAATGTAATATATATAAGCATATATTTATATAGGTTATATGTTCATAAACTCCTCTTACACACAGCTGCAGAGCAAAACAGCAATTTTGCATTAAAAATATATATATTCCTAACCTCTGAAACAGCTACAAGTAGAACTCTGGATTTAAATGGTGTAGGATATCCAACAGAAAAAATACAATCTTGAACCTCGCGAACATAATTCTCTTGAATATGATCAATGGGAAGTGTAGCTAGAGGGGAAAAGTAAATTAATTTCACACAGAATTCCAAAGTAGCAGCAAAAACAACAGATTTCTTATTGTCTGGAAACTGAGTCATGGCAACTGGAATTCTTTTCTTTTCTGGCTTGAAATGTTTTGCTGCTTATCCAAATAGCTTCTTCAGTCTGAGCAAGTTAGTAAAGGGATCCCATGAATGTCCTTCAGGGTGGTTTCATTTTTTTCTTAATCTGAATAGGCTCTTTAAGTAGGCAGAAAGCCATTAAAGGTCAATTGCTCCTAAATCCTTCTTTTAGGTGAGTCTTTAAGTACTCCTGCATTAGTCCCCAGGAAATCTAGATCACAGGTTAACCGGAGAGGTCACGCCTAAGAGAAGGATTTAGAGCAAACACCCTTAATGACTACAAAATCCACAATCAGCAATATTTTTATTAAGGCATACACTTCAGTATGCCTTAGTAAAAGCATACAAACTTTTATCCACAGATGTCCACAGGAGATCTCTTTTGGCTTAATTTTTAAATGTTCAATAGATTGTTTAAAATAAAACCAAGAATTAAAATGTGAAACTATAGCAGTGCAATATAAAACATTTTCCTCAGCATTATGTTTAGGTATACGATTGTACTGATGCTCCACATGGACCCAATAGGTAATTTTAGAAAGTAAAAATAACAGCCCAATATTCACCTGCTCTGAAAGGGTGAACAAGAAAGACAGATTGTTCGAAGAGCAATCCCATTAGTTTCTGTGTGATTGTGACTTGTTGCTTCTACAATGGCAGTAATTTTTTGAACAATCAAATTTCCCCAAAGCAGCCATTTTGGGCAATTATCCACACTTTCTCAACATTCCAAATATGCCCAATAATCCAATAAAACTGCCTGACCTAGTTAGATTGTGTAAAAAATAAAGTCAACCCTGTAAGAAAAACACATGTTTTCCTTAGTTAGGAGATATCAAGATTACAGTAGTAGGTATATTTCTTAAAAATAGTATAGGTTTTAAATATAATCATAAATAAAAACAGGCGACCAAGCCAAGCCAAATTTATGCTTACATTTCACTGAAATAGACTGAATAAGGTAATAAGTTCTGTTAATTTTCATCAGTACAACTTTCTCAAGATAGCAACTACTCTGGAATAGCACTAAGGCAAATTGTTTATCCAGATAAAGTCCCTGTTATAAACAATTCTTTCCAACAAAAATGTGTACATATTGTCAGAGGTTATACAAGTACCTGTGAACATTTCTGTGGAAAGTTTCCATTCATCCAAATTAGTTAATTTCACTTTCTTTTCACAATAATCTTGATCCAAATTTGATGCATTAATGTAATTATGCATGTGGTTAAAACTAGTTGCAGCAATTGTGTCAATGAGGTAACATCCAGAATGATATACCAATGTTAATGATGAAAACCACCATAAAACTGCCCAGCAGCCAGACATACTAAGTCCCGCAACTTTTCTTAAATCACAGTCAAGTCTGCAAGGAAACAGATATGATTGATATTCATAATGAGACAAGGCTTTATCTGTGAGCTTTTACATTTATAAAAACAACTTTCTTGCAGTTTTAGTTTCATACATATATAGGCAAATAACAATTCCATTTTTCCATTCATTATTTTTTCACCAGCCAAGAAAAATCTGTTAAAATATTATTTTGTTTTATAATAATAAACTTTAGAAAGTTTATTATATGGACAAAAAAATGGAAAGATTCTAAAATAATCACAGTGTAGGAATAGTTGATGAAGATGAAGAACAAACAAAGATGGCAAAATTAACTTATTTGATTAGAAAAAGATCAACATTTATCAATGACTGGAAATCTCTTATGGACTTTTTGTTGAAAAAAATGAGAAGATGAACGTGATTTTATGTGTTTGAAGATTAGAAATGATAGCTTATGGAAGAAGGAAATTAAGATGTAACCTTAGAGAAAGAGAATAAAATAAAAATACATTTATAACTATTGTCAAAAAGATGAAAAGTTGCTACTTTATAATCTTTTTCCTTTTTCTTTTTCTATTTTCTTTCTTAATTATTCATTGTTCTGATTTTCTTGTTTTTTTTCTAATATTTGTATTATTTTTATCTTGTAAAAATTTATTCAATAAAAATTATATTTAAAAAAAGCATCAGTCCATTAGGAACCTCAATTAAGTTTTATCTAAACCATATATGGGCAATCCATAGAATGTATAGTAGTATCGACCTCTTTTTGTAGCTCTCAAAGTATTTCAAGATCATGCCACTGCAATTTGGTAGCAAAACTGCAAATTTCTGTACTGCAGTTTTTGTCCTTTTTTGCTACAATAAAGAAATACAAGTTATGTTTAATGAATATCAACAGGCTAGGTCAGGGCTAGGTCTTCCAAAAATACTTTAACTAAATTGTTTCTCTTGTTTCAAATAATATACACAGAAATAGAGGAAGAATTATTTGATGATCCAAATGCACTTAGTTGGCAAAGGAAGAAGAAAACTAGAGTAAGACTGAAGGAAACAGAAGCTTTGCCCTATTAGAGGGGATGTTATATTTCCAATTAGATATTTGAATATGGTTAAGAATAGATAGCTAGAAATAGAAGTATTACTATAAGATATAGTATCTTGGTATGAAAAGAAATAGAAGTATTATTATAAGATATAGTATCTTGGTATGAAAAGGGAAATAAGAATATGCTAAGAACTTTGAATAAGGGAAGTTTTTGGTTACCCCTAAATAACTTGTTCTGAAATTATAAATGATGGGATATTTTGAACATGGATGAGGAATTAAAACTGAAAAAAGCAAAAATAGGATGTAGACTGAATAAATGTATATTGAGTGCAAATGCAATTAAGATATGTTTTGGTTAGAAAAGATATTCTAAACTGATATTATTATCACTATTAGAAAAATGTAACTAATGTTCATAGGCAATTTATATTTACTCACAACAATAAGAATTGTATTTGCTTAGTATGGAAAAATGTCTATTACCAGAAGAAGAAAAGATGTACTGGAGGGTGTAATATTGGATTTAGTTTGAAGACACTTACATATACCATAGAATCACTAATGGACTCAATCATCACGTTGTCTATTAGGCACTTGATTGTAAAAATAGAAAATTAATAAAATATTTATTAAAAAAAGAAATATAGGTTATGTTATCAGGAAGCTTAATATTCCTATTTTACTTCTTTATTTGCCTTCCTGTCCAATCAATTCTTGTTAAATCAATTATTCCATTTTTTTGATATCCTTCCAAAAAGCACTGTTGACCAAATACCTCTGTAAGGACCCACCCCACTTTGCATCTTAAGAAGACAGAACTCTTGGAATAGCTCTTCCAACAGGAATCCTTTATTAAGAGAAAATGGTTGCAGGCATGCTAGACAGGACTTGGGGTTCAAGCTCTCCCATTCAAGGTTTTAAGGGGTTCCCCAGTAGTCCCACCCAATCAACCCCCCTTCCAGTGATAGTTTCAAGTATCACAATTCCATCCCCTTTCTTCTTCCGTCTGGATGGAGACTTCAGATAACTACATGAAAGGCAATTACTCTTCTTTGATATGTTAACGCTTAGAGGCCACAATAAACACACATTCAGTCCTTTGAAGTGTGCTGAAGGAAGTGAGGGCCATAAAGCCCCTTTGCTCTCCCCCTTTTCTCCCTCTTATGGCAGAATCCAGAGAAGGCAGAATTGGGAGTTTCTATGTTTGATAATTAAAGATGAAATATAATTGGATTCTGACATCCGGCCCCTCTTAACAATAAGAGAGATCCACCTGAAAGAAAACACAAGTAAAGAATTTAGTTAGGCTTGTTAGGATACTCTGTGTGAAACTTCTTCAATAGCTTCGGGGCTCTGACGTGACGTTTATGGACCCACTCATTTTGTGAGGCAGGGAGGTGTTTCCAGGCAACTAGGTACTGAGTTGTTCCATGATATCTCCTAGAGTCAAGGATCTCTTTTATTTCGAAGTGTTGTTCCCCCTCCACCATGATTGGAGGTGGTGGGGGGGGGATTTTTGGCCGTAGAGGTGACTGATGCTCTCTTTTCAGCAAGCTGCAATGAAAAACTGGGTGTATTTGCCTGAGGTTTTTGGGTAATTCTAATTCTACTGTTACTGGATTTATGATCCTTTTAATTGGAAAAGGTCCTATATATTTTGGTCCAAGTTTTTTACAGGGCTGTAGGGACTTTAGGTATTTTGTAGATAAGTACACCATTTCTCCTATAATGAATGGTGTAGGCTCAACCCTTTTTTTATCGGCTTGTGCTTTGTATGCCCGCCTAGCTTCATCTAGTGATTTTCTGACTATTGGCCAGGTGTTTTGTAGGTTTTCCATCCATTCTTTCAGTGAAGGGATCGTTGGTTCTTTTGGGGTTAACTCTGGCATAGGGTTGAAACTTTGGCCGTTGGCTATTTGAAAAGGAGTGTAGCCTGTGCTGGAGTGGACTGCATTATTGTAGGCAACTTCTGCAAAAGGAAGTAAGTCCGTCCAATCACTCTGTTGGAAATTTAAAAAACATCTCAAATATTGCTCAAGTACCGACTGGCACCGTTCCGCTTGTCCATCTCCTTGAGGGTGGTGGCTAGATGTCAATCCCTGAGTGGTCCCTAAGAGGGATAAAAATTCCTTCCAAAATGCAGACGTAAATTGCACTCCCCTATCAGAGATGATGCGTTGGGGTGCCCCGTGCAATCTGTAAATGTGCTGGATGAAAAGTTTTGCTAAGGCCTTTGCAGTGGGAATTTTTTGGCAAGGGATAAAGTGCACCTGTTTGGAAAATAGGTCCGTGACTGTCCAGATAACAGTATTCCCATTGCTTTCAGGCAATTCCACTATAAAATCCATGGCTATTTCCCTCCAGGGGGCTGAGGGACTTGCCACTGGTTGTAACAGCCCTGGCGATTTCCCTTGCAACCTCTTTGCTGATGCACAGGTTGGGCAGCTGGCAACATAACTTTCTATGTCCTTTTTTATTGATGGCCACCAAAATTGCCGTTTAATTAAGTGTAAAGTTTTTACAAATCCAAAATGCCCTGCTGATTTTGTGTCATGGCAAAGTTGCATGAAAGTTAGTCTTTGAGTTGTTGGTATATATAACTTTTCCCCTACCCAAGGCAATCCGTCTCTCATTGTGCACACATGTTTGTTTTTCTGGAACCAATCATCTGTTTCCAAACTTTTTCTGAATTCAATCCCAGTTTGGCTGTCCAGTTGTGGTTTTATTTTGGCTTGGGTTCTTGTGGTTACTGGCGCTGCCAGTTGTGATTCTGCCATTATTGGTCTAGAGTCTGTGGTTCGTGCGCTGTTATATTGGGGCATGCGAGATAGTGCATCTGCCAGGAAGTTCTTTCTTCCTGGTAAATGTTTGAGCTTAAATTGGAATTGGTGAAAATGCTGGGACCAGCGGGCTTGTTTGGGATTGAGTTTCCTGGAGTTTTCAGGGCTTCTAAATTTTTGTGATCAGTCCATACCTGGAAGGGGATTTTGTTGCCTTCCAGGAACTGTCGCCACGTGAGTAATGCCCAACGTATCCCATAAGCCTCCTTCTCCCATACGGGCCAGCGCTGTTCTGTTTCCGTGAGTTTCTTAGATGTATATGCACAGGGTTGCAATACTGCATCATCATTTTCTTGTAATAGCACAGCCCCCACTGCCACATCACTTGCATCTGCCTGTATTATGAAGGGCTTGTCCATATCTGGGTGCCTTAGTACTGGTTCGGCAGAAAAAAGTCTCTTTAGTCTCTCAAACGCTGCTTGGCACTCCATTGTCCATGTTAGTGGCTGGCTAGGTTTTACTGAGGATGTTCCCTTCGTTTTTAGTAAGTTGGTGAGGGGCAAGGCTATCTGTGCAAATGAGGGGATGAATTGGCGGTAAAAATTTGCAAAGCCCAGGAAACTTTGTAGTTGCTTTCTTGTGCGGGGTGGTGCCCATTCTAATACTGCTCTGACCTTCTCTGGGTCCATTTCAATGCCCTGTGGGGATATGCGATAGCCTAGGTAGTCTATCCTTTCCTGGTGGAATTCGCATTTTGAGAGTTTGGCATATAGGTGAGCGGCTCGCAGCTTCTTTAAAACCGCTCTGACAAGTTTGACGTGTTCTTCTTTTGTTTCGGTAAAGATAAGAATGTCGTCCAAGTAAACAAGGACCCCCTTAAACAGGTGCTCCCTTAGAACGTCATTGATTAATTGCATAAAGACTGCAGGGCCCCCTTGTAATCCAAATGGCAAGACTTTGAATTGATAGCACCCCATGGGGCAGTTAAATGCAGTCTTCCATTCGTCCCCTTCCTTGATTCTCACGCGATAGTAAGCTTCCCTTAAGTCTAGTTTAGAAAAAATTTTCCCTTTCGATAGGTGTGACAGC